CATGGCACAGCACGGCACAACACCTCACAGCACCGCACAACACCTCACAGCACCACAACGCACGTACCTGTTGAGCATGGTGGTCTTGAGGTCCAGAGGGACAGTGGCAGCACGGAAGAAGGCGGAGAGCACGCGGGTGCCCTTGACATCCGTGGCCAGATGCATGAGGTAGGAGGGCGGCAGCGCCACACACGCCTGCACCACCCTCTGCGATGCCGCCTGGCAGTGGGCGGGGAGGAGCATGATGGGAAGGGAGGTGTGTGGTGGGCGGGGTACCATGGAACAGGCGAGGCGGCCTACATGGGAGCTTCGTTAGAGCAGCCTGCAGAGCAGAGACAGACAAGATCAGGGACATGTGCGTGCTACAAACAGCTTGCTCCTTGCTGTGTTTTCCTTGCAAGTTGCTGCTGCCCTGAGGACTCACCAGAGGGAAGGAGAAGATGGTCTGCAGCGCCGCCATGCACCCCACGAACGACACCGCCCCACGCTCTGCCACGGCCACGGCGCCCGCCCCACCCCTGCTGCTGCTTAAGTCTTGCGAATGCTGTTTGCAGCAGCACTAAGACTCACCATGGGAAACGAGAAGATGGTCTGCAGCGCCATGCAGCCCACAAAGGAGACCGCCCCGCGCTCTGTCACCGGCACGGACCCCCATCCTTGTTGCTGCTGGCGCTTCTTGGCTCGGTTGGAGCGCACATCGTTCACCCTCACTGCCAGCCACGCATCCAGCCACAGCAGATCGCCCACTGCTGCCGCATCTGCTGCTGCCGCGTCCACTGGTGATGGTGCTGGCGATGAGGAAAGGGCTGCTAGCAGGCTGTCACAGGCCTGCCGAGGGAAGTTATGCGTTTGAAGAGAATCAGTCAAAGAGAATTGGACAAAGAGTATGGAAAGCAGGGTTCTGATGCAGTCCGGGAAGCAGTCAATTGGATAGGGTCGCGATCGCAGAAAGGTGAGTGGCCCGGTGTTCGTTTACTACTCCCGTATCCACCCTCTCGCTTCAGTCACACCAAGCCATAATCACAACTCACTCAACCGTGTCTGAAACGTCTTGGTGCGTCTGCACGCAATGAGCAGCGCCAACACCACACCACACTCCCTCATCCACAGAAGTGGCTCCAAGCATCACAGCTCTCACTCACCCGCGCCTGAAATGTCTTGGTGCGTCCACATGCAATCAGCAGCGCCAGCACCACCCGGCCCCTGCCCCCCTTCAGCAGTGCCAACAACCCCTCCCCTCTCCCTACCGCTTCCCCCCCCTCCTCCCCACGGTTTCCACCCCCTTCCTCCCCTTCTCCTTCCCCTGTCCCCCTCTCTGCCAGCGCCTTGAAGGCGCGTTTGACGTCGGAGGGGGAGTGGAGGGCGGAGAGGGCGGTCTGCACGGTGTAGTTGGCGATGGGGTGCAGCGCGAGGGGCAGCAGGTGGGGGAGCAGGGCCACTCGCAGGAGCGAGGAGCGGAGGGACTGTGGGGCGAGCAGGAGAACAGCCTGCGGAAAGGGGGCGGATGGGGGAGAGAGGGAGAAAAAAGCTGCTTGAAAACACCAAGAGGGGTAGACAGGGAGTGGAGGGGGAGTGGAGGGCGGAGAGGGCGGTTTGCACGGTGTAGTTGGCAATGGGGTGCAGCGCGAGGGGCAGCAGGTGGGGGAGCAATGCCATTTGCAGGAGCGAGGAGCGGAGGGATTGTGGGGCGAGCTGAATCACGGTCTGGGGAGGAAGTGGGGACGGGGGTTTGGGGGGGGGAGGAAAGGAGATGGGGAAGGGGTCAACACGGGATGGGATGGGGAACGACGGGCAGAAGTCAAGGGGAGGGGAAGCGGTGGGTTGTCAGAGCAGCATGCGGAGGTGGAGTGGCGGTCAAACCAACAGCACCAAGGCAGGGGGAGGACGGTGAAATGCTTCACTGCGTCAGCCAACCCCCCCTCACCTCCATGAATCTTGAGCCACATCGGTCCTTCATGAGCTCAATGATCTGCCCTACCTCCTCCTCCACCTGCTGGTCCGCTTCCTCCCCTTCCTCGCCCCCCTCTGCTCCTCCTCTCCCCTCCTCATCTCCTTCCTCTCCCCCCTCCTCCTTTTCTCTTCTGCTTCTCTTCTTCCCACGCTCTCCCTCTTGCTTGCCCGGCCCTGCCCGTTTCCTTTTTTTCGCCGCAGCCCGAAGCGCAGCCTCGGGCAGGTGGAGCAGAGAGGTGATGACGTGGGTGAGCAGGGCAGCATCATCGCGAATCACGTCCAACAGCACCTGCACACGTGGCGACAGCAAGGCGTGGAGATTACACCCGACATACAACATGCATTCTGAATTCAACCCCATCACCAGCACCATCGCCATCCGCACCACCATTTGTACCAGCAGCAGCAGCACCACCACCACACTCACAGCACACCCACCTGCAGCAGAGGGCCAGCAGAGGGGTCACAGGCGAGGGTCCACGAGTCCCCATAGGGCGACCACGCCACTGCTGCTGACGGCACCGCCTCGTCCGCCCCCGCTGCTGCCGCCGTCACCCCCACCACCACCCGCTGCAGCAGCGCCGGAAACCCCAACGCCGCCCCCACCCTCCTCCCCCTCTCCGCTGCTGCTGCTGCTTCTGCACCCCCTGCTGCTGCTCCCACTTCCTTCCCTCCAGCCAAGCCTGCACCCTGCCCGGCCATTCCGGGCAGCCCTGGAAAGGTCGCACCGGAGGACGGCGGGAAATTTCCAGCTGCCCGCTGGATCTGCGGAGGCAAGCGGCCGCCGAACCTTCTCCCCGCCCCACCATCTCTCCGCTCCTCCCCCGCCTCCTCCCCGCCCTGCTCCCTCTTCTCCTCCCCACCCACGCTATCAGCCCCATCCCGCCGGGCCTTCCTCGTGCCCTCTGCTGCTGCGGGCGTGTCGTGGATGGGGCGGCAGGCGAGGAGGAGCAGCAGCGAGCGCAACACGTGGGAGCAAGCCGGGCTAGTCATGGCTGCTAGGGGATACTCCGTCACTTCTTTGCAGATCTTTTTCAAAACCACCCGCACTGTTCCGGTCCATTTGGGTAAATCACCCTGGCCTTCCGTCTCCTCCTCGTTTTCTTCCTCCTCCTTCCCCTCCCCATCCTGCTCCTCGTTCTCGTCGTCTCCTGCCCCGTTTTCGTCCAATCCTGCACTGCCACGTGTCCTGCTCTCTCCCGTCACCCACGCGCGGATATTCCGCAGACCCGCTTCAATCACCCTCGATGCAAGCCCATGCGCCAATACATCCCGACAAACATTCACCTCCCGCTCCCCCGATCCCTCCCCTCCTCCCCCCGCGCCTTGCCCCTCCGCCTCTCCCCTCCTGCGCGCGCAGCAGCAGGCGCCGGCGAGGAAGCGGGTGGCGGCGGCGGGGGGGGCGGCGGAGAGGAGTGGCTCGAGCGTGCGGCAGGTCTGGGTGTCCCACAGAAGCTGGTGCTCCTTCCCCCGAGCCTCCTCCAGAGCATTGGCAGCGATGGAGGCTCGGTCTGAGGCACGGCACGGGGGAGGTTCGGGATTGGGGCCAAGAAATGGAGAGAGAGGAGGTCGGTGGGGCGGAATTGAAGACCATGCGGAATGGAGGGGGCAGTTAGCGGAGAGAGTGAGAGCGATGGGCGGAAGCGGAGAGGAGAGACGGGGTTCAAGAAGAGAAGGGTTGAGGGTTAGGGCGGCGGGGTTTAGGAGGAGCGAGGAGCGCACCTTGCGGGTCGGGGGTGTCTTCCCACGCGGTGGCGATTTCCGTGAAGTACTGCGAGAGAGACGGGTCCAGCACGCGTCTGGCGGTAAGGGGGGAGAGGAGTGGAGGGAGGAGCGTGGGAGAGGCGGGGGCGGGCGGGAAAGCGAGGCGTGGATAAGGACAAGCACGTGGCGATTTCCGTGAAGTGTTGCGAGAGAGACGGGTCCAACACGCGTCTGGCGGAAAGGAGCGGGGGAGAGTGGAGGGTCGAGGGTGAGGGGAGGGACGATTAAGACTAGCACGTAGGCTGGATGGTTGTCACTGCGTGTGCAACGGTCGGGTGTGGTGTGCGTACGGCGCAAAAGCGTGTTGCTCCGCTGTAGAGCCTCGCTCCGCGCCACCTCCGCCCGCTCCGCCGCCTGCTACTCCGCCGTACCCGCGCCCGCCTTTCCCTCCGCCACGTCCTCTCCCCCTTCCGCGCATTCCGTCGCCTCCCTGCCAGCCCATCGGCGCGCAGCGAGATTTAATGTCTGCGTTAATGCTGCAGTCGAGCGAATGTGCCTACACAGACGGTGCTAATGCGCAACCTTTTGAGGCGTCAAAAAGGACTAGGCTCTGTGAAAGAAAATTTCACGCAAAGCTATCGCTGACGGGACCAAAGCCCTGAATTCTGTAGGAGCAGGAGGAATAACCCTCCAACCCGTCAAAACCCGAAATATCAATGCAACTGGCATAGGGGTGGGCTCGTCCGCGTTACGGAGCTTCGCTATAGAAACAGTCAAAACATAATATCTTATTTTTGCGACTTCACAATCTCAACTGATGTGTAACTGTACTCGCGAGCAATACACTACTGTCACATCAACCACTCCCATCATCCTCATCTCAACCCATCCCGCTGCGCTGCTCCGCACATTTCACGATAACGATCCTCGAATCGCCCTCCTCTCGTCACGTCAATCACACTCCTATCTCGCCTCGCCCTCCAAAGCACGCCTACAAACGCACACCCGCCGCTCCGGTTAGCACGACTGCTGAGTAGCCACTCTCAGCCCACCCTTCGCCGTGCGGCTGGAGCGATTCGTGGTTTATCAGGTCATTAGCTAGCGCACGGCGAAGGGTATTAGTGGTATAAGCTGTATTTTCACCTTCCTCCTCGGCATTGCCGCGCAGAGCTTGTTTCGACGCGTCTCGACGCGTTTCGAGGCTCCATTGCCCACTCAGAACCCCCGCGACGCGGGAGGCGTGGCGGAACGATCGTAGTCCGCCTGCGCGCGGCTCCGCTATACGCGATCTCTCATTAGGTGGCGGGAGGGTGGAGGTGGAAAACGGGGAAAGGGGACATCGGAAGATGGAAAGGGATGGTTCCGCGGGGAAAGCAGAGCCTTTTCACCAGGCAGGGGCGCGGGAGCAATCAGGCGCAGGCGCAGCTGCGCGGACGGGAGCGCAGCAAGGGGCGCGGGGATCACACTCGGGGGCTTGGGCTGGGCAACCGGGGGAATGGGCGAGGGAGGCGGGGGCGGGGTGGGACGGTGACTGGCTGGGGGAGGCGCGGAGGCGCGCGGGGCCGTGGGAGGGGCGGCCGTTGGCGGTGGTGAGTCTGTTCGACGGGTGCGGCGCCATCTGGCAGGCGCTGCACGACTGCGGCATTCCGTTCACTGGCGTCAGCTCTGAAATCGTGAGTGCAGAGCCGCTGGGTGTGTTGCTGCGTGTGCTGCACGCTGGGTGTGCTGCACGCTGGGTGTATTGTATAGTTCCTAGTCGCTCTGAAACGGCAGGCGCTGCACGACTGGGGCATTCCGTTCACCAGCGTCAGCTCTGAAATGGTGAGTGAAGTAGCGTCTCAAGACGTGGGGGCCTTGCTGCGTGCTCCTGTTTGTATCACCTTTCTCATCCCACTTTTGCAGCAGTCTTTTCCAGTCTTCTCATCCCTCCCTCTCTTTTGAGTCGACTCAAAAGTCTTGTCCAGTCTTCTCATCCCTCCCTCTCTTTTGAGTCGACTCAAAAGTCTTTTCCAGTCTTCTCATCCCTCCCTCTCTTTTGAGTCGACTCAAAAGTCTTTTCCAGTCTTCTCATCCCTCCCTCTCTCCCTCCCTCCCTGCCCCACAGGACCCATTCGCAGTGGAGGTACAGCAGGTGAGGCACAGGTGGCCGGCCGTGCAGCACGCTTGATGTGAGGTGCAGCATTCTCATGCCACTGCATATCGTTTCTCCACAACCCTCCGCACCTCCTCGCACCCCTCCCTCCCCCACAGGACCCATTCGCAGCGGAGGTGGTGAGGCACAGGTGGCCAGCCGTGCAGCACGTGGGGGATATCACCGCCCTCACACCCACCACCATCCACTCCGCCCTTGCTGCCGCTGCTGCTGCTGCTAGTTGTGCCACTGCTGGCGCCACTGCTGGTGCTGGTGCTGCTGCCTCCGCTGCCAACACCAAAGAGCTTCGACCGAGAAAGTGCAAGGAAGCTTCACCGAATGTTCCCGCTGGCGCCCATGTGGACCTGCTAGTGGGCGGCTTTCCTTGTCAGGATCTGAGCAGCATGAACCGAAACAGGGTGGGGTGAGTGGCAGGAGCGCGAGCGCACAGCAGAAACGTCCCATCTGCCGTTCCCGTCCTCTTGCATTGCATTGCATGCACTGCCAGCTAGCATTTACCACTCCTGCACCCTCGCCATCTTATGTTCCCCCTCTCCTGCATAACCCTCGACGCCCCGCCCTCACTCATCCCCTCTCCCTCCCTCGCCCTCCCTCCTATGCCCTCTCCTTCCCTCCCTGCCCTGACCTTTCCTCTCCCTGCCTCTCTCTCCCTGCCCTCTCACCCGTTCACCCTCACCATGCATCTCCCAGGCTGCACGGCCCGCGCAGTGGCCTCTTCTTCCACCTCCTGCGTCTCATCCAGCACCTCTCCCCCAAACGGTTTCCTTTTGCCTGCCCTCCCCTGCACCTCCCCCCCTTCCCTGCCCCGCATGTGCGTCCCTGCTCGTTCACATGTTCAACCCCACACATGTTCAACCCCACACATGTTCAACCCCACACATGTTCAACCCCACACCATGCATCTCCCAGGCTGCACGGCCCGCGCAGTGGCCTCTTCTTCCACCTCCTGCGCCTCATTCAACAGCTCTCGCCCAGATGGTAACCGCCTCTTTCCCATAAAGAGTAAACTGCTACCCAGATGGTAACCGCCTCTTTCCCATAAAGAGTAAACTGCTACCCAGATGGTAACTGCCTCTTTCCCATAAAGAGTAAACTGTTACCCAGATGGTAACCGCCTCTTTCCCATAAAGAGTAAACTGCTACCCAGATGGTAACCGCCTCTTTCCCATGAAGAGTAAACTGTTACCCAGATGGTAACCGCCTCTTTCCTGTAACGATTAAACTGCTACCCAGATGGTAACCGCCTCTTTCCCGTAACGATTAAACTGCTACCCAGATGGTAACCGCCTCTTTCCCGTAACGATTAAACTGCTACCCAGATGGTGCCCTCTAGAATTGCGACTACGTCCTAGTAAGAGTGCATGGTAAGGTTCACTGCAGTGTATGCATGTCGTTCCCCTCTTGAGAGCCCTCTCGTGATCCGCATTCTCCCTGTCCACGACACGACAGCAGGTTCCTGGTGGGGACCGTGGCGCGCATGCACTGCATGGATGCATGGATAGTGGCTGACTGGTTGCTCACTTTGCCATTCCCACTTGCACACACCCACACCCACCTGCGGCCCCCCACCAGGTTCCTGGTGGGGAACGTGGCGAGCATGCACTGCATGCATGGATGCATGGATAGTTCTGGATGAGGGCGTGAATGCTCACACGGGAGTGCTTATCAGAGCTCACCCTTGGCTCCCCTCATCCTCTCGCTTCTCTCCCCTACCCTCTTTTCATCAGGTTTCTGGTGGAGAACGTGGCGAGCATGCAGTGGATGCATGGACCGATTGACGCTGCTGCTGACTGGTTGCTCTCTTTGCCCACTCCCACATGCACACTTACCCCCCGTTCCTCCTCCTCCACCAGGTTTCTGGTTGAAAACGTGGCGAGCATGCAGTGGATGGATCGCGATGAGATCTCCAAGTATCTGGGAGTGCCACCTATCTGCATCGACTGCGCCGACCTCACCGCACAGGCGCGGCGGCGGCTGTTTTGGACCAACCTGCCGCTGCCAGCTCAGATGCCGCCCGTGCGCTGCCACCCGTCCACACTGCTGCAGAGCAAGCTGTGCGATGCGATCGCCACTGAAGACAAGTGCGGGGTGGGTAAGGGGGAAGGGGGAAGGGAGAGGAGGGTTGGGCAGGGAGGGTATCGAGTTTAAGGGGGCAGGTGGAGAGTGAGTGTGCGCTGCCACCCGTCCACTCCGCTGCAGAGCAAGCTGTTTGACGCGATTGCCACTGAAGGACAAGTGCGGGGTGGGTATGGGGGAAGGGGGAAGGGGGAAGGGGGAAGGGGATGTGTGGACTGACTATGGGGTTGTGGAGGGGCGTATGGAGAGTTGTCATTCGCTCTGCAATCCTGTGATGAATTTCATTGTTTGTGTGGTCGGCAAGGGCCGCTTTACACCAACCGGGTCGCCTGCTCCCTCTGCTTCCCCCACAACACTCTATATTACCCCTTTATCCTCCGCCTCATCCCCCTTCCCTCTCCCCCAGCCCATCATGAAGACCAACTTCCGCACGGCCGGCAAGGGCCGCACCAATCAGGTCATCTGCCTGCGATCCCACTCCCTCTGCTTCCCCCACACGTGCCCCCCTCAATATTAATCTCCTGCCCTCTCTTACCCTCTGCCTCATCCATCCATCCATCTTCCCCAGCCAATCATGAAGACCAATTACCGCACAGCTGGCAAGGGCCGCACCAATCAGGTCATCTGCCTGCGATCCCATGCCGCCCGCTTCTTCCTTTCCCACGAGATCGAGGGAATCTTTGGATTCCCGCCCGGATACACCAAGATCTCCGCCGCCCGGTTCGCTGCTATCAAGGCGGGAAGGAGAGGGGCGACAGGGGGGAAAGCAGGGGCGGGGAAGGGGCAAGAAAATGGTACAGGGAATTGGGAGTCTGCTGGGGCTGATTGTTTGAGAGGTGAGGAAAGGGAGGAGGAGAAAGAAGATGTGAGGGAGGTGAATAGCGAAGAAGGGGTGAAGATCGAGAGAGGAGTGATGAGTGAAGGAGTGAGGAGGGAGAGGGGAGTGAAGAGTGAAGGAGGGGTGAAGGAAGTCGATGCAGCAGTTCCCAGCGACCCCTCCGTTCCACCTTTCTCCCCTGTGCGAGTGCTGAACAGAGCAGTGTTTGATGGGGTGAGGGAGGTAAGAGAGGAGGAGGGAGAAGAAGCGGAGGTGAGGGAGGTTAAGGAGGGGGAGGTGAGGGGGGTGAGGGAGGTGAGTGCATGCATTGCTGGGGGAGATGGAGGAAAGGGAGGTGCTGAGGGGTTTGATGTGGTGGGAAGCGATGGTGGGAAGTGGGTGTTGGGCGTTGCAGGAAAGGCGTGTGGAGAGAGGGGAAAACACAAGGGCGTAGAGGCGAGGAGGTGGGTGGAGGGGAAGAGGAATGGAGTGGCGAATGGAGAGAGGGAGGGAGGTGGAGGAAAGAGGAGGAGAGTCTGGAAGGGGCGAGATGGAGGAGAGTTGCAGGGTGCGGCTCGGTGTGATGCGGTGAGAAGCGGTGATTGTGTGGATGCTGATGGTGATGAGGGTGATGATGGTTTTGATGGTTATCATGGTGGTGCTGCTGCCAATGGTGCTTCAGGATTGAAGAGTGAGAATGCGGTGAAGAGTGGTGACGTTGGGGTGTTGAAGGAGGACAATGCGGTGGAGAACGGTCATGCCACGGATCATGAAGATAGTGAAGACGATGTGGTTGAAGTGCCACCATCGGTATTGGGGGACGAAAAGGTTGGAGAAAAGAAGGGCAGAAGGGAGGACGGAGGAGGCCAGGCCAAGGCAAGGGAGGACGGAGGAGGCCAGGCCAAGGCAAGCGAACACTCTTCTCCTGCTGCTGGTGATGGTGCGTCTGCTGCTGCACCGGCTGCTGCTGGCGGCAGCACGGGGAGGTTGCTGCGAGCGCGGCCCAGCATTGGATTCTACAGCGAGGCAGAGCTCATGTGCGTGGGCGGTGATTGATAGGTGTGAGAGGTGTGGTTGAAGGTGAAATTGAATGTGTGTGAGTGGAGTGAGTGATGTGAGTGGAGTGAGTGATGTGAGTGGAGTGAGTGATGTGAGTGGAGTGATGTTGGGTAGTAGAGGTGGTAGCGGCACGTGTGGGCCAAGTGGGATTTGAGGTGGTTAGTGAGCAATGCTGATGGGCATGTGCCGCCAAGGTAGTTACACAAGTCAACCTCACTCTCCATTGCACAGCTTGTCGTTACCTGTGTTCTCTCCTCTCCTCTCCTCTTCTATCCCCACCACACCAGGAGGAGGGGCGTGCAACAGCAGCCCCAAGAGACGAGGCGGAGGCGGAGTGGGGCCAGTGAGAGGGCGAGCGGGAGGGCGGACGGGATGAGTGGGAGGGAGGAGACGTGTCGGTGGGATGAGAGTCAGCAGGAGGAGCTGCAGGAGAGGGACCGATGGGGCCTGCTCGGGAACTCGTTTCCGGTGAGTGGGCGAGAGGGAAGGACGAGGGGGGGGGGGGAAGGCGAGGGGAGACGAGTGCGGGGGAGGAGAGAGGGCAGGAGGAGCTGCAGGAGAGGGACCGATGGGGCCTACTCGGGAACTCGTTTCCGGTGAGTGGGCGAGAGGGAAGGAGGGGGGGGGGGGGGGAAGGCGAGGGGAGACGAGTGCGGGGGAGGAGAGAGGGCAGGAGGAGCTGCAGGAGAGGGACCGATGGGGCCTGCTGGGGAACTCGTTTCCAGTTGAGTGTCCCTGCCCGCCCGCCTGCCACTCACCCTTCTACCGATTCTTCTCCTACTTGCTAAGCCTTTCCCTATGCTGCTATCTTCCCCTGCGACCAATCCACCCCTCACCACCCTATTATTTCCCCCTTGCCTTATCCATCATCAACCCCCCTCGTCTCCCTTATCCCCCGTTCTTTTCTCCCATAGGTGGCAGTGATATCATACCTGCTCACGCCGCTGCTCTCCCCCACGCTGTGCCTCTCTGCTCCCCCCTGTAACAGTCTCCTGCTTTCTAAGACCCCTCTCCCACACTCTCCCAATGCCCCCTGCTCTTCCCCCACAGGTGGCCGTGATATCATACCTGCTCACGCCGCTGCTGTCCCCCTCGCTGCGCCTCTCCGCTCCTCCGTGTGCGCTGCCTGCCTGTGTGCCGCCCCATGTCACCCGCGCCAAGTGCGCCCTCATGGTGCCGGGGGAGGTGAGCACTGAGCGTGGGTGTTAAGAGGGGGGGGGTGAGAGATGAGAACGTGGGGTTGAGGAGCAGTGTGAAGGGGCCTCTCTGCTCCCCCCTGTGCGCTGCCTGCCTGTGTGCCGCCCCATGTCACCCGCACCAAGTGCGCCCTCATGGTGCCGGGGGAGGTGAGCGCACTTCAAGGGTAAGGGTGTGTGATAGCAGGGCAGTGGCGTGCAGGGCAATGGGCGGGCAGGGAGTGTGACGGGCACCTCTCTGCTCCCCCCTGTGCGCTGCCTGCCCCTTGTCACCCGCACCAACCACCTCATGGGTGCCGGGGAAGGTGAGCGGTGAGTGTGTGTGGAAGTGAGGGATGAAAGGTAGCTAGCTCGGAGTGGTTATATGAGAAAACAAGCAAGCAAGACAATTTCTTACTGTCAATAATTGTTTACGCAATCACTGCCACAAAAAGAATATGTCTCCAAAGGAGCCTCCATTGAGCAATGAGCGTGGGTGGAAGTGAAGGATGAAGGGTAACCATGTCGAAGTGATTAGGTCTTTAGTGGTGCTCAATCGAGGCAACATGCACTCATCTCCCCCACACTGCACTCATCTCCCCCACACTGCACCCATCTCCCCCACACTGCACTCATCTCCCCCACACTGCACCCATCTCCCCCACACTGCACCCATCTCCCCCACACTGCACTCGTCTCCCCCACACTGCACCCATCTCCCCCACACTGCACTCATCTCCCCCACACTGCACTCATCTCCCCCACACTGCACTCATCTCCCCCACACTGCACTCATCTCCCCCACACTGCACTCATCTCCCCCACACTGCACCCATCTCCCCCACACTGCACTCATCTCCCCCACACTGCACCCATCTCCCCCACACTGCACTCATCTCCCCCACACTGCACTCATCTCCCCCACACTGCACTCATCACTCTCACACCGTTCCCGCGTTTTTGTGCCGTGCCCACCCCACCCCACCCAACCCAACCCCTCCCCACCGCATCCCATCTCACCGCACTGCGCCAGGTATGGGCGGCATACAGCTGGTCCAAGCTACCCAATTGGTACGCGCTGATCCTCTCCGTGGAGGGCGGCAGATTCGACACCGAGTCGCTGCGCAAGCCGACTCCTCTCTGCATCACCTAGTGAGATGGCTCCTCTCTGCATCACCTAGTGAGCTCGCAACGTCAGAAGGGCCGGGTCACATGGTATGCCAATCCTGCTTCCCTTCCCTTCACTCTGAACAGATCACGCGTTATTCGGCTGGATATGTCTCGAGAGCGCACCCCTCTGTTGCTTCTGTTGCACCGGCCACAGTCCCTCAATGCATCTTGATATTCGTTCTCCGTACCTTGCTTGCTTCTCGCAAGTTGTGACCTGTTGAAGCACACCTGTAACTATTGTTCCTAGTTACCTTGAAATGCTTCTTGACCACATTGCTGCTGCATATTCCCTCCTCTCCACCCTCCCACATCTTTTCTCCTCCATTCAGCCGGTACTTCTATCTTGTAGACGCTCAATCAGCTGGGCATCCTGCAAATGGGAAGAGGGAAGAGAGGGAGGAGAGTGAGAGTGGTGACGAGGAGGAAGAGGAAGAGGAGGATGAGGAGGGGGAGGAGTACAAGGGCGAGGGGGAGGACGAGCACACGTGGCATGGAGCAGGGCTGTATGAGATGGAGCAGGAGACACACACGGCCACCAGCCTCACTGTCTTCAGCCACAGGTAGGTCCTGTTTTTTCTGCTCTGCTACCCTCTCTCTGCTCTCGCAGCGTTGCTTTGCTGCCCTTGTGCCATCACGATTCTCACACATTCGCATACCCATCACTTCCATCACCCCCATCACCCCCATCACCCCCATCACATCACATCACCCCCATCACCCCCATCACATCACGTCACCCCCATCAACCCCATCACCCCCATCACCCCCATCACCCCCATCACATCACATCACCCCCATCACCCACCATAACATCACATCACCCCCATCACCCCCATCACCCCCATCACATCACATCACCCCCATCACCCCCATCACATCACATCACCCCCATCACATCACATCACCCCCATCACATCACATCACCCCCATCGCCCCCATCACCCCCATCACCCCCATCACTCCCATCACCCCCATCACCCCCATCACCCCCAATACCCACATCACCCCCATCACCCCCATCACCCCCATCACCCCCATCACATCACGTCACCCCCATCACCCCCATCACATCACGTCACCCCCATCACCCCCATCACATCACATCACCCCCATCACCCCCATAACATCACATCACCCCCATCACCCCCATCACATCACATCACCCCCATCACCCCCATCACATCACATCACCCCCATCACATCACATCACCCCCATCACATCACATCACCCCCATCGCCCCCATCACCCCCATCACCCCCATCACTCCCATCACCCCCATCAACCCCATCACCCCCATCACCCCCAATACCCACATCACCCCCATCACCCCCATCACCCCCATCACCCCCATCACATCACGTCACCCCCATCACCCCCATCACATCACGTCACCCCCATCACCCCCATCACATCACATCACCCCCATCACCCCCATAACATCACATCACCCCCATCACCCCCATCACATCACATCACCCCCATCACCCCCATCACATCACATCACCCCCATCACATCACATCACCCCCATCACATCACATCACCCCCATCGCCCCCATCACCCCCATCACTCCCATCACCCCCATCACCCCCATCACCCCCATCACCCCCATCACCCCCATCACCCCCATCACCCCCATCACCCCCATCACCCCCATCACATCACATCACCCCCATCACCCCCATCACCCCCATCACTCCCAATACCCCCATCACCCCCATCACCCCCATCACCCCCATCACCCCCATCACATCACATCACCCCCATCACCCCCATCACCCCCATCACCCCCAATACCCCCATCACCCCCATCACCCCCATCACCCCCATCGCCCCCAATACCCCCAATACCCCCATCCCTCCCATCACCCCCATCACCCCCATCACCCCCATCACCCCCATCACTCCCATCACCCCCATCACCCCCAATACCCCCATCACCCCCATCACCCCCATCACCCCCATCACCCCCATCGCCCCCAATACCCCCAATACCCCCATCCCTCCCATCACCCCCATCACCCCCATCACCCCCATCACCCCCATCACTCCCATCACCCCCATCACCCCCAATACCCCCATCACCCCCATCACCCCCATCGCCCCGCCCATATCGCACATGAGGTTGGGGCGAGTGAGGAGGGTGGCAGGGCAGGCAGGGGGCCCGGGCTGGAGTTTCGCATGCAGTGTATCCCCAGCCAGGCACCGTCTTGGGGCTGTCATATGGCCCTTCGAACGCCACCCTTATCCCCATCATCCCCGTCATTCCCATCACATTACCCCCATCACCCCCATCAGGGTGCGGAGGGTGCGCAGGGTAGCAGGCGGGGCGGGCAGGAGTGTGCACGCGGTGTATCCGCAGCCAGGCACCGTGTGGGCGCTCAAGTGGCCCTTCAAACGGGACTTCTCCCTCGTTGTCAGTGCTGCTGCACCGCACTGCACTGCACTGCACGTCACTGCATCATTAGTTCGAATTCTCCCGTGTCGGCTGTCCTTTTGCATCTGCGAGCACGCGACTGCTCCTTGTGCAGGCTAATGTGCTGCTGTGCTCCAGTTTTATGTTCCCTCTCTTATGCCCTTTACCCTCTCCCCTGACCTCATTTTATCCTTGTCTGATTCTGTCTCGTCCTCCCTCCCTCTTTCCCACTGCGGTATAACACCGCCATGCACACAGTACGTGGTAACCAGCAGCATCGAGTTCAACCCTCGCAGCCTATCCTCCCCATCGCCCTCCTCCCACCCCTCCCCAACCACATCCCCCTCGCTCCAACCCTCCCCCACCCCTTCCCGAGCCCCTCCCGCCTCCCCTACCGCTTCCCGAGCCTCCATCCGAGCCTTCAGTGCGACGGTGCGGGCGCTGGTGCGGCGGCGCAGTGTGAAGATGGGGGTGGGCATGGATCCGCTGTGGGGGGTGCACGAGCACGAGTGGCAGGTGGACGATCTCTCTGCCTTCGCCTTTGAGGCGCCCTTCCACTTCCACAGCGACCGCCACACCCTCGTGGTGGAGCCACAGACCCACAAGGAGCCCGAGTAGAGGTGAGGCGACTGCTTTGTCACAGAGCCTTGGCAGGTTCCCTCGTCAGGTTTCCCGTCAGGTGCCGTGAAAGTGGGAACAGAGGGGTGGAAGAGGCACCTGGAGCAAGGGTAACTAACCACAGCATCACCATTGTAGTGGTAGCATCACTAACAGGGTCGCTAGCCGAATTATTGTATGATGCAATATTATAAAAGTGGGAATTTCTCTCATTATTGTGCCCCAAGAGGGGTGTGTGGTGGAGTGACAGAACTAGAAGGTCAAGTAGAAAACATGGCCATGGTTTAAAACCCATGATACGGTATGTTAGGGCTGCGGAAGTAGACTTGTAAGCCATTCTATAGTGGCCATGCATGTGCTGTGCGTCCTTATGCATGGCATGAGTAGCCATGTGCCTGTCTGTTCTATGCATCTATTCCATGAGAGAACGCACCCATACATTCAGTGACTTGTACTGCACTCTAACTGGGATGAACATGTGAAGACCGAGGGAAAGGGCAAATCATTGTTCTGACATTGACCCATGCTGCATTGACCCATGCCACATTGACCCATGCCACATTGACCCATGCCACATTGACCCATGCCACGTTGACCCATGCCACGTTGACCCATGCCACATTGACCCATGCTTCTCATCCCCTTCCCAGCCTCCTTATCACCCCCTCTACCTCCTCCCACCTCATCCCCTCCGCCCCACTCCTGACACCCATCTGCATCACCCCCATACCAGCCCACATCCCATCCAGCCTCCTCGCCGCCTCCTCTCCCACCACCACCGCAAACACACTATCAAATCCCCCTGCACCCGGCACCCCCGCCATCACCACCCCCGGCTGCTGCATGGTGGCGTCAAGAAGTGCGGTCTGCTTGGGGGGTTCGATGGGTGTGGCGGCAGCAGAGCCCATGGCAGAGAGCAGGTGGCGCACTGAGAGGAAGGAGGACCGCAGGGTGAGAAGCGCGTGTAGGATGGTATTCCGGATGTCACCACCTTGCTGCTCTTGTTCTGTTTGCGATTCTTGATGTTCCTGTGGTTGCTGTGGTGCGTGTGGTTTGATGGCCCTGCTTGTGTGGCTGATGTCGCTGCTACCATGCACCGATGTGCCTGCTTGCAACTGTTGAGTAGACTCCAGAGTTACCTCAACCTCAGCCTGGAGATCTCCCGCTGCCTCATAGGTGGCACACAAGGGGTTCACCTGGGTTGCAGCAGCAACAGGCGCCACTGGGGTTGCTGCAGTGAGAGGCACGTGCTGCAGGCGGTTCAGAGTGGTGGAGAAGGCGTCTGGATGGGTGCGAGCGAGAAGGGACAGGTGTGAGAGAGCAGCAGACACTGCCGCATTGGCCTCTTTTAGGCCTTCCCAAATGGGCTCTGCTTCTCCTGGTGATTGCCGCCGCCACCTGTGGGGAGGGGGAGGAAACGGGGAAAAGGAGAAGGAAGATATGATTGCATGGGGTCAGGGAGAGGTGAGGGACTGCTGCAGCAACGAACTGCAGAGGGGTATGGGGGATGGCATGATGGCATGCTGGTAAGATGGCATGATCTTAATATGGGTCGATGGAATGATTTGTGCTAACTTGAAATAACCGATGCGTGAATACGCCCGTAGCAGCGCGATACCCACTAAAAGCGATCAAACTATGTTCCAGAATGGCCACGCTCACACTCACTTCATGACAGCAGAAAGCATGGAGGGTGTGGCGGTACCCCCTGTGCCTGGCTCGCCCAGTACCTACCATCCACAGCCACGCACATACACCACGTGGAAAAGAAAGGGGGCATGCGTGGGCACGTGAGAGGAGAATAAAACAATGCTCATTTGGCAAGAACGGGAGGGTGGGAGAATGGGATAGTAGAATGAGAGTGTTAGAATGGGGAAGAGGGAGAGTGGGAGGGAGGCATACCAGGAGAAGGCCTGGTGGGAGGTGCAAGGGAGCGATGGTGTGATCCCACAGAGGCGACCGCAGTGTGGCTGATATGCTGCTCACTGTCATTGCTGCCTCTGCTCCCTGCCACAACCCCAAGGTTCACACAGGAGGGCATATGTGCAAGATGGTGTTACACAAGTGAATAGGCGTCATGTTCCCTGCAGCCCTGATCACTCATTATGGCCGTGCGCATGACACAACACAACCCATCATGGAGCAGCATACAGCAAGGCAGCAACCATCATGGCAGCACACAGCAAGGCAGCAACCATCATGGAGCAGCACACAGCAAGGCAGCAACCATCATGGCAGCACCCAGCACGAGAGCACCCACCATGAGGGCATGCATGACGGACGGGTTGAAGCGCTGGTAGCACATGGACCCAAACACGCCAGCTGCCACATCAAACCCGCTGCCCGCCTTGCCCTGTGCCAAGCAGTGCGCCACCTGCGCCACCCGATGCACCACCTCCTCCCTCCCCACCGTCCCCGCACTCCCCACCGCCTCCCCTTGAGAGCTCTCCTCCGCTCCACTCCCCATGGCCCGCTCCTGAGAACCCTCATCAGCAGCGCCACTCCCTGTGCGCTCCAGCACGCCGAGGAAGCGCAGCAGGGCAGCGGAGACAGCAGCAGTCATGGCGGCAGACGACCCCAGCCCTGTCTTCGCCACCTCTGGCACGTGCCCTCTCGTGGGCTCTGCTGCTGCTGCTACTGCGACTGCTGATGCTGATGCTGATGCTGATGCTGCTGCGTGTGGGGCTGCTGTTGTTACCGGGGGTGTTGATGTGGCTGGGGCTGCTGAAGGAGGGTTGCTGACGATCGGGGCGAAGGGGGGGATGCGGACGAGGGAGGACGCAGAGAGCGGCAGGCCCATCTGTTGCAGCTGCACTCACGCGGAGGGGTGCGTATAGAGGGGTGTGCACGGGGGAATGTGCATGGGGCATGTAGGAGGATTGTGCATAGGGAATGGGGTAATGTGCGTGGGGCATGGGGGAATTTGTATGGGGGTATGTGCAGGGGATACGTGCATAAAGGAATGTTCTTGGGGGAATGTGCATGAAGGGACTTGTGCATGGAACGGCAGCGTACAGTGTGGCGGTGCGAATAAAAGTCGTTGTCTCCTGCAATCGTGATGCGCACTCCTGCACTCGTCAGCCGCTCCCTCAGCTGCCGCTTGTCCGTTGCTCCGTCCCTCAATCCGCCTGTCTCCCCCAGGGCAGCTCCCACAGCCACCTGAACCACCCTTTCCACATAAGGGTTGCCTGAAACCCTCTCCGCGCTGCCTTCCTCCGCTTGACCTTTCTGTCCTGTGCATTCACCCGCACAGGCGTCACCTTCCCTGCACGGACCTCAAGGGGACACGGACCATCGGAATGCAGCGTAAGGGGTACAACCGATGGCCTTCGCGGTGGCGTGTGACAAAATCGAGTTTCAATGGTTTTTTATCCGAAGGCATCTGCCACAACTGAACTCTAACTACCTGCGGTTGCTGATTTCGAGATTTGGAAGGGACAGGTCGAAGAAGTAGCAGCTGCCTCGTTGAGGCGAATCCACGCCAACGGTCATCAGGCTCTCTCTGCCCGCATCTGCTGTTTCCGCTGATTCCGTAACCTGCTTCTCCCTCTCGGCGATTAGCGGCTGCGCAATGGCGTAGAAGCGCGCGTTCGTGGCGAGAACGAGGCCTTGATTAGGAGGCTCTACCACAAGGTACGCTCCCACTAGGAGCACCTTGCCTGGAGCCGAGGCGGCTACAGCTGAATCCAACGCCATTGCACTCCTAGTCAATGCGAGGAAGAATCTCCGTTCAATAACTCAGTGTCTTCACAGCATCGCCTAGAGACATCTCCTGACTTGGTTATGGGTTGTCGGCGGGCTTGTCGGTGGAAAAAGGATGACGACCGAATTCTGTGGTTTGCTGATCCACCCTAAATTGGCGTGGGTATGAACGAAACAGTACACGCAGACTCTATTCTTGAATGTGTTGCTTTAAATAGCGTAAGATATGTAAAATGTGACCAGAACCTGAACCTTGGGGCTGGACTAGTGTCTGGGTAAATATAGCTGGTTGTTACAGATAGACAATGATATGGAACGTGAGACTCATAACCACTACTGCTGGTATGGAACGTGGGGTCCAATTCAACAGACCACCTAGCTACAGCTTGAGAGCAATGGCAAGCCCAACCTTGCCTGACTTGTCAAGAGCCTTGGAGTCAACCTCTCCTGCAATGGTGACCTTGGACTTGGGCCGGAACTCGTGCTGGAGGAGAGCAGCAACTGTGCCACGGTTGTTGAACCTAAGCTTGGCCTCTGTGAGGGGATCAAGCTCAAAGGAAGCACCTGCTGTGAAAGTAGTGTCACTTTTGGAGAGTTTGTGCGCTGCCTCAACAGCAACCTCAACGTCCTTCTTCACCTTCTGGAAATAGGCAGCCTTCAGCGTGTCCAGCTTGTCAGCACTGCAGCACAGGTGAGCATTGCAGGTTTAGTCAGCCACTGGTATAATGGAAATTGGGAAACAAAGAGGTGGGTACGACATGCTTACATCAACAAGGAAGCAGCGAAGTCGGATTCGGAGTAGGCCACGCCAAGGTTGTATTTGGTCGCGCTGTTAGTAGCAGTGTCGTAGCCAAGCTCAGCACCGACAACCACACCCTTGGTTCCGACGGCAAGAGCACCCTCGAAAACGGGTTGTGTAACAAGACCGACGGTGGCATTCACGTGTAGCAACTCTTGCTTGTAGGTCAGCTCTGCCTGCAAAACCTCGAGGTACTCATGTCATGCAATATTTTACGAATGGATCGCGACACCAGAAGAAGATCAAATGGTTCCGCGCGAGCAAACAATGAGTGCTGATCGGGGTTCACCCACTCACCTTGGTGGCCTTCGAATCCGGAACGATTCCAGTTAGGGCAAGCTTCAGACCAGGAGCAAGATCCTCGTAGACGGCCTTGAAATAAAGCTGAAACACAGGGAAGAACACGTTTCCAGATCAGACTGTCAACCCGTGGCTCCTTCTAAGGCACATTACATTCTTAGAGCGCACTCCCGCCAGTACGTACCTTGGACTTCGTATCAAGCTTAAACTCGGCCTCAACGTTTCCAATCTCGACCTCAGTCTTCACATCGCACGACACCTCGTCTCCCTTCTTCACTGATGCAGTTTGAAACTTCTGCATTTCCAATGAAGGGAACATCAGCACTACTGGATCTCATTCTGGCTAAAGTTTAGCTGTATCTGATGAACTTACCAAGCCCGAATCAGTCTTTGTGGAGATGTTGATGCTGTGGTCATAAGCGTAATGCTTGAAAAGAAGCTCTGTTCAAGATCCATAAATGCTCGATCAGAACGCACATACGACGTGCTGAGGTAATGACTACACAGTAACTGTCGAGACAAACGGTCTTACCCTTGGCCTTCTTGCCAATGTCTGAGAAGGAACCAGGACCCTTTCCCATGGCGGTCGACGCGAGTTACGAGAAAGGAAGAGATTATTGCTAGGGTTCGGCACAGGAAGCACGAACACTAGGGAAGAGAAGAGGATTTGCTGGTTCGCTGAACCAAAATGAAACTCCGATGCTGGAAACTAGAGAAGACGTGGAGGAGGAGGAAAACGAATCACGCAACGTGGCGGAGATATTGAGGGGGGAAGATGCTGGCTTCCCTTCAGTAAAATCACACAAAAATCGTGGTCCCCTGAGTCAACCCTATGTTCCTGAAAAAACTGCACAAGAAACGCAATCGTTTTCTTTACAGAAAACAATTTAGTGTTTTCTTATGAAACTCTGAAGTGTGGTTGTCGCGAAACGCATCTGCGTGCAGAGTGCTGATTTTGTGGCAGTCTTTAAGATGCAAGGCTGTCGGAGCTCTTGCAGTGGAATCCTTGGTTTTGGATCCGTTATCGCCATCCACGCTGCGTATCGTTGACACCAGGTTCCCTTGGTAGGTACCAGGGACTAGGATGTCCTGCAAGGGACCTCGTCTTTATCTCCGGAGACCTGCGTTTTTATCGTCTAGTATCTCGAGCGTAGCATTCTGTCCTCGTAATACTGCAGGTTCTTTACTGGTATCCCTCGTTAACCTTGCATCCATGGGACAGCTTAGAGTCTGCCACCTACATGCTCGTCTGTGATCGGAGGCTTGGACGGCCGCATACTTCAAATCCTAGGCTACGCTTCATAGTCTATAGCTCGTCACCGTCGATTCATATTATTCCTGAATTAGATGGAGTGCAATAGAGAAGACGCGATGAAGGCTAAGGAGCTAGCCGAAGCGGCTCTTGCAAGCGGCGATTACGCCAGGGCTCGTCGACTAGTATCGAAAGCGCAATCCCTCTTTCCCAATCTCGACGGGCTCACGCAGGTCTGTGCCGTGGTCGAAGTCCACGAAGCTTCGCTGAACCGCGTGGGAGGTGACGTGGACTGGTACGCGCTTCTCCAAATCCCCGCATTCTGCGATGACGACAGTCAGATCAAGAAGGCGTACCGTCGCCTGGCGCTGCTGCTGCATCCCGACAAGAACAAGACCAGCGGAGCAGAAGCAGCGTTCAAGCTGCTATCCGAGGCGTTCACGGTGGTATCAGACAAGCAGAAGAAGGCCGTTCATGACGCCAAACGACGATTAAACGTAACCACAGGCAGAGCAGGAGCAGCAGCCGGCGCTAATGCCTCGAGGAGTCAACACAGAGCTCCAGCAGCAGCGAAACCCCCGCCTGCAGCACCAGCAGGAGGAGCAGCAGCAGCAGGTGCGGGGGGACAGGGAGCGGGGAATCAGTTCGAGACGCGGTGTCCGACGTGCGGGACGCGGTTCTTGTGTTTGCGGGACGCCATGGCGGCCGTTGTACAGTGCATCATCTGCAAGAGCTCGTTCAAGGCCATGCCTGCCACCGCGTCTGCCTCTAACGCGTCTGCCGCTGGCAATGCAGCTGGTAAACAAAACGGCAGCGTGCCACAACCACGGACGCAGTCACAGGCAGCAGCACAGGCACACGCGCAAGCACACGCACAGGCACATGCACAGGCAGTAAGGCAGGCACAGGCACAAGCACAACAGGCACAGGCACAGGCACAAGCACAAGCGAGGGGTGCACCTCAGCAGCCCAACTTCATGCCCACCGGCGGCATGCAGTACGGCATGCCAGCGAGCTACGGCAATGTGCATTCCTCTGCCAGCGCCGCTGCCGCTATGGCAGCTGCTGCAGCCGCGCAGGCCGCTGCTGTCGCGGAATCCCTAAGGGGCACAGGGGGGGGAGCGGCGGCTGCTGCTGCAGCGGCTGGGGACGCTGCTGCTGCCGCTGCTGCGGCAGCTGCTGCAATTGCAGGGCAGTTTGGAGGGATGGGGACTGGGGGGGCTTTCCCTGGTGCTGCTAACTTCGCACAGTTCTCCTTTTCGACGGATGGTGCTGGGGTGTATGGCAGTCAACAGTGGCAACAGCAGCAACAGCAACAACAACAGCAGCGGCTTCAGCAGCAGCAGGAGCAATTGCGGCGACAACAGCAGCTGCAGCAGCAGCATCTAGAGGAGCAGCGTCGGCTGCAGGAAGCACAGAGGCGGCTACAGCAGCAGCAGCAGGAGGAGCATCGGCGGCAGCAGCAGCTGCAGCAGGAAGCACAGCGGCGGCAGCAGCAGCTGCAGCGGGAGCAGCATGAGAGAATGCGAGCAGCGATGGGCGCAGGTGCAGCAGGGGTGGGTACGCAGCAGTTTGGCCAAACAGGAAGCGTGGAGGAGGCGTTGAGGGCTAGAGCGGAGGAGGAGAGGGCGCAGAGGGAGAGAGTTGCAGGGGAGGTGCAGCAGGAGCAGGCGAAGGCGCAGGCGAGGCGGCAGATGCAGATGGATGAGTTGCTGGAGCGCAGGCGACAACAGCAGGGAAAATTCGCCGCTGCTGCTGCAGCTGCTGGAGCTTCTGGTGTTGGGAATGGCACTGCAGGCGCGCAAGCAGCAGCAGGAGGTGGAGAGGGTGAGAGGGGTGGCGGGCAGCAGGTAGGGCGGAAGAACCGGCTGCGGAAGAGGAAGCAGGGGGGAGGGCGAAGGGGGGCAGGGGACAGCAGCGATGATGACGAGGAGTGGGACTTCCGTATGGACGCAGACAGTGATGATGACGATGCTGGTCGTGGTGGTGGTGGGGGGGGAGGAAACAGGGACCCCTTGCAGGGGGGTTACCAGGGGTGGCCGGCAGGCACGGGGCAGGCACAGGGAGAGGGCGGAGGGGTGGGGGAGGACGAGGAGATGGTTGGAGGCGGTATGAGGCGGTCGGCGCGCAGCAGGAAGCCGGTGGTGTACCACCTGGGGGATGACAATGACGATGATGACGTCATGGAGGTGACCGAGGCCGGGGCGGGGATGAAAGGGGCCAATGGGACGGGCGCAGGGGGCGGCGGTCAACCCAGGAGACCCAGGGCTGACCAAGACTCAGCTGTGGGAGGAGGTGATGCGAGCAAGGGCTCCGGGGCTGATAGCAGACACGGACTGGCTGGAGACGTCTCAGGGAGGGTGCAAGGAGAGGGGAATTCCACGGATGTGCCTATGGATGACAATCCAGGGGTCGCAGCAGGGAAGGAAGAGGGGAGGAGTGGTGAAAGGCGAGGAGAGGGCCGTGGCAGCAGCAGTGGGGAAAAGAAGAGTGGTGATGGAAAGAGGAATGGGTTTATGCATGAGGGGGAGGTGGTGGAGCTTATCTCGTCTGATGAAGAGGAAGAGGAGAGCGAGGAGGAAGAGGAGGAGGAGGAAGTGGTGCGCTTCTCCGTTCCAGATCCTGACTTCCACTGCTTCGATGATGATCGCACGGAGGAAACATTCCGACCAGGCGATGTAGGTTCTGTTTCACATGCCACACACAGCATGCGCGTGCATGATGCATCCCTTTCCATCAGCTCCTTACCTGGCTTTTGAGCTCATCAGAATCCACGCCTCGCCGTCTTTTCTGCTCCTGTTTGTTCTCCCCTTAACCCCAACAGGTGTGGACCCTGTATGATGACTCTGACGGCTTCCCCCGCTTCCTCTGCGCTATCCGCCAAGTGTCCCACTCGCCCTTCTCCTGCACTATAGTCTGGCTCGAGGCGGCCGCACTTTCCAAGAAACGCACCGTTGCCGCTGCTACTATCACTCAGACCGAGGCAGCAGCTGCTCTGGCCGACCCAGCTGAAAGAGCAGAGCCCAGCATCGGATACTTCAAATTGGGCAAGCCCACAACGTTCGACTCTGTTAACACCTTCTCCTTCCGGATTTCCAAGCTGGCTTCCCCAAACGCGCGTACGGCTACAGTTTTGCCAGAGATAGGCCAGGTGTGGGCGCTGTATGCAGAAAAGACATTTGCCAGGCGGAGGTACTACCTGGTGGAGGTGATACCTGCTGAATCATCCATACCGCTGCCAAATGACCCGACAGCAGCATCGGCAGCAGCAGCAGGAGTACATGGGGTTACAGCGATGGGGTGGAGGGCTGTGTGGTTCCTGGAGAGGGTCCCTGGTGGAGTGTTCAGCTCACTATTTCAGGTGTGTTTGCATGGGCTTGTGAATGCATACGTGCATGGGGTATGCTTGCAAGTGTGCATGGGACATGCATGTGCCTACGGTAATGAGATTGGTGTCTAACTTTGCAGTGTCGCTGTTCCTTTCGCTCTCTTACGGCCTGTTCCTTGGCCGTCGCCAACTCGTTTCTTCCCATCTCTGTTTCCCTCCACGACAGAGAATTCCTGGTGGCACGCGGTTCGTTCGCCTCAACAGTTTCTCGCACCTCGTTCCAAGCTTCCACTTACAAGGCAATGAGAGCAGCCCTAAAAGATTGCCCCCTCCTCCCCATGGTGCTCTAGAGCTGGATCCTGCTGCCACCCCCTCAAATCTTGCGCCATTTCCTCCTACAGTAGAATTGTGATGATAGAGCATGTACGCGACGTGAAGCGAAGCTAACGTACGAAGATCGCAAAGGGCTCAACAGAAGTCCTCAGTTGCAACATGCAGGTTGCTCATCTTGGCAACCTCTTTCAGTGCATAACTTATAAAACCGCAGATTGCCAATCACTTGTATACATTTCAAAAATTACCAGATTTGTGAACACTATTATGAGTGTACGTATTCAAATGATCTCGACATAATTATTTACACCCAATCTCGGAGTCACGCCCTCGAGCATGTCTGGAAAGCCGAGCCGCTTGGCTCGAAAATGTCGAGAAAAGGCGCCCCCTGCTGCTCTCAGCAGGTGGTCAGGTTGGAGTCAGTCAGCCTGATAAACTTACACAAGACTGACACCCCTGTCGCCATTTCTCTGACAGCCGCCGTTTCCGTTGTCTACTTGAGTAGCGATCGCACCGCTTTTTTCACTAAGGCCGCTCTAGTCCTTCTGCATTAAGATTTAAATACAGTATTTAAATCTTAATCCACGAAACCCAGTGCTCACACTTCGCAGTTATTCCGGATCTGTGATAACGTCTCGCTGACGCCATCCATTATACCGTCTCTCGCCTTTACTCTTACCATTCATGGCTCCGATCAACACTCCGTCGACCATGGCGATTGTTCCGTGCACCACAAGTCCGAAAAACAAGTTTGGGAGGGGCTTCAGGTATTACATTCCACTGCATCCGCCATGATTTCCGTCCTGCTCTGGAAGATCCTCCAAGCCTGCTAAGCCATTCGCCCGCTGCTGTTTTCAGGGAATACGACGAGGAAAACGAGAGGAACACGATGGTCGAGAACGTATACCACATCAACCATTCCAAGCAGACCCTGGGATTTGTAAGTCTGGATGCATTCTCAGCTTGTCCTTCCTATCGTTACACGTTATGGCGTGTACTGATTTTTTGTCTGTCTTCTGACGTAAATTCAGGTGCTTGCAATGAAAGAACGGCATCTGAAGCTGGACAAGGCCGAGATGAGCATGTGGGAAGCGGCGGAGCTGTTAAACGAGCTCGTGGACGACAGCGATCCCGATTTGGATATGGCGCAGATCGAGCATGCACTACAGGCAGCAGAGGCGATCAGACGGGACCACCCGAGCGAGGAAGAAGACTGGTACCCACTCGTTGGGTTCCTTCATGGTAATTTCTTTAAAAACGTTTGCACTTTTTGCGAGATTGGTGTACATTTGATAGCCGATTTGACATATTCTTACTGTTTCTGCTTTAGATATGGGGAAGGTTCTCCTCCATCCGAAGTTCGGCAGCGAACCCCAGTGGGCAGTTGTTGGTAAGTCATGCCGTTTTGGGTACACGCAGCAAGTTTCGCTGATGCTTGGTTACTAAAAGAGTCTTGTGGGTTTACTGCAGGTGATACGTTTCCTGTTGGCTGTCGCTTTAGCAACAAGATCGTCCACTCAAAGGTTGGAGCGTCTGAATTTCTAGTTGCCTCGGCTGAAAAATCTACGACCGTATTCTTTGAAGCTGACGTTCTGTTCGTTCTCCCTCCTGCAGTTCTTCAACAGCAATCCAGACTCGTCAGTTGAAGACCTGAACACAGAGTGTGGTATTTATGCGGAAGGCTGCGGAATGGACAAGGTCCATATATCCTGGGGCCATGACGAGTATATGTGAGTGGCAATTGCACCTTTCTTACAGAGCGCTGCGTTCTTTAAATCCCTCAATAAAATACCATCTTTGGTTATTCTCCTGCAGGTATCAAGTCCTTGTCCAAAACGGCTGCAGCATTCCAGCCCAAGGGCTCTACATGATCCGCTACCACTCATTCTATGGTGAGTACAACAGAGCGCAAATGTGTATTGATGCTGTTATTTGGTGGTGACATTTCAGTTCTGACCGTATTGTGGGCGCAGCTCTGCACAGGGATGAGGAGTACCAACACCTGATGGACGACTTTGATCGGGAGATGCTTCCATGGCTCAAGGACTTCAAGTAAGAACACTCACTCGCTCATCTACATCCCTGGTGCTCGTCTGTGTACATTATGAGGTCTGTGTACATTATGAGGTCTGTGTACATTATGAGGCATACTACTGTATGCCTTGAACCTGTCCTCCCCCCCCACCCCAGCCAGTACGACCTCTACAGCAAGAGTGCACAGCGCTTGAAGGTGGAGGAGCTCAAGCCCTATTATCAAAGGCTCATTGCCAAGGTACACAGTGATGTTAATTCCTGCCATTGATAGATGTTGCCTCAATTTGCCAACCTTACATGTACTAATCTGGTCTCTGTCACATTGCAGTACATCCCTAAGGCAATTCTCAAGTGGTGAAGCAAGCAAGTGCAGTAGCCGGGTAGTTATCTGCAAGCTTCCCTCAGTAGCGCAGAGGGATCTTGGTATTTAGTGTGCACGCCTAGGAGCTAGCTTAAGACTGTTTAGAACAAGAATGATTACCGTATGGAAGTCAGCAATGGTATGTACACATCATCAGCAAGTCAACAGAGCAGAGACATACACTGAAAGACATGACAACCAAGCAGCTGAAAGCAGCGGTGACAGCCATGCTCCAAGGCAGGTCTCTGGACATCTGTTCCCCCACAATGCACATACCTCAATCCATCTGCCATGCCATTCCCCACATCCATGCACACAATTCCAGGCCAGACAGACCATGTCAGCAGCACAAGCCACGGGAACCAGGGCAGACAGGAGAACATGGTCCATCCCAGCAGCCAACTGTGTGCCAATGAGAAGGCAAGCTACCAGCATATGGAGGCATCCCATCCCATGCTTGCAGTGAAATAGCATCACAAAGCAGGACAAGCCGACCAGAGCTCTTCAGCCAGAGAAGACAGAAGGACAGATGGCATGAGCTGCCTTGCCTTGTGCATTTTATGGCTGGCTGGCTGGTTGATGCCCGATTGGATGCACGGTCCATGATGGAGTGTGGACGGATCCTCCACATGAATGGTGTTTAGCTGCCTGTGCTGGTATGTTGATCTGAAGGTCAAGAGTGGCCTGCATTGGCTGACACTTCAGAAAAGTGATGCACATCTCATGCACACGTGCTCAGGCATGACATCAACATTCTCACATTAATGCAGATTCATGCGTACTGATGTGAAGTCATGACCATTGATGCACACTCACGCTTGACGCACATTCATGCACATGAATGATCAGTCATGCACATGAAGCACACCCATGCACATCAATGCACAAGCATGCAGATGCGCAATCATGCACATTCATGCAAACCAGCATGACCCATGCTATGAAAAACAAATCCAATCTGTGCCATTCCCACACAATCCACGGGCTCCAAACAAGCCCATTCTCAAGCAGTCTTCTCCCAAACGCCATCAAGGGAAGAGTTCAGTGTGGGGCCCGAGGACATGGCAGATAGACTTTGCGTTGCAGCAGCAGCAGCAGTAGAGGCAGCAGTAGTTGCAGACACAGCAGCGGTAGCAGAAAAAGAGTGGAGACGAAAAACTAAAAAGGTTCTTGCGAAGGTGTGGTGGTAGACGGTTCTAAGGAAGAGCAAGCTCCAACTCAGACAGGAGACGAATCTCGCAGCCTAGGCGAGAGCCAACTCAGTCGCTGCGAGAAGGAGAGTCGTCATCGGAGGCCGGGCGGCGACTGTCCTTGCCACGGGCAGGAGAGAGGGAAGGCGAGCGACGCCTGCAGTACAACAGATTTTAGAGAACAAATGTTACAGCCTGTTACAGCCAAACATTGCAGTATGCACCAAAGCACAGTACAAGGAGAAGGAGAGAGTTCAAAAGTTTTGGAACACGGGTAAAGCACCAACAGACCTGGAGCGATGGCTGCGGCTGTGGTGCTTCTTATCCCTAGAAGACCGCCCCTTCTCCTCATCAGACTCATCTCGCCCCGACCTCTTCCTGCTGCTCCGCCTTCCACCCTTCTCCTCCTCCTCATCATCATCATCAGACCCTCTCTCCTTCCGCCTTCCCCCACGACCTTTCTCCTTCCTGTCTCTATCATCCCTCTCTTCCTCATCAGACGACCTATCCTTCCTCCCCTCGCCTTCCTCATCCTCGTCGTCGTCATGGCGGCTGCGCCGGCGCTTGTGGCTCTTCTTGCTCCTCCTGCTGCGCCTGTGACGCCGCTCCTCCTCGTCCTCCTCACTCTCCTCGTCATCATCACTGTCCGGAAAGCACATGAGGAGAGCAGAAAGCGTGAGGAGAAAAAGAAGCATTGGCTACCAAGCTCAGAATGAGACCTGACCAGTCATGTCACTGAAAAACAAGCCACTCCAAATTGTTTACTCCCACTTCTCACTTACCGGTTCTTCCTCCGGCGGTGCTTCCTCTTCTTCTCCTTGTGCCGTTCACTCTCTTTCTTCCTGCTCTTCCTCTCCTTCTCATCCTCCTCCTCCTCCTCCTCCTCCTCCTCCTCCCCGTCTCCTCCCTCCTTCACGGCTGCCTCGTCCTCCGATCCTCCTCTGCTCCCATTCTCAATCACCTTCTCCTCGTCACTCTCATCCCCCCCTCTCTCCTTCGCCTTCTCCCTCTGAACCTCTTTCTCCTCCTCATCACTTTCAACCCTTCCCTTCCTCTCCATTTCCCTCTCTTCTTCAATATCATCCGTCTCCTTCTCCTCTTTTTCCTTCTCTTCCTCACTCTCATCCCCTCCCTTCTTCCTCTCAATTTCCTTCTCCTCTTCACTCTCATCCTTCTCCTTCTCTGCATCAACCTCCATCTTCTTGGCCCTCTCTATTTCACTCTCGCTCTCTCCCTCACCCTCACTCCCTGCACGCCGCAACCTAGCATCTTTCGCCGCCTCCTCGCTTTCCTCCTCCTCGTCCTTCTCACGCTTCTCCTCGCTACCACTGCGCCTCTCCTCCTCCTCTTCATCCTCTTCCACTTTCTTCGTCTTCAACCTCCCTCCCTCTCCTTCAGAGCGGTCACTATCCTCCTCATCCTCCTCCTCCTTAGCTCGCTTTTCCCCATCCGAGTGATCACTCTCGTCCTCCTCGTCCCGCCCTCCCTTCCTCGCAACCCGCTCGCCCTTCTTTTCCTTCCTCTCTTCCTCCTCCTCATCTTCATCATCCTCCTCCTTCGCGCCTCTCCGCCGCTCCGCCTCGCGCCTCTGCCTCTCCAGCTTGTCACGAAGCAGCTTCTCTCTCAGCTCCTTCTCCCTCCGCTCCGCCTCCTTCCGCCCACCCTTCCCCTTCCCCCTCTCCTCCTCATCCTCCTCCTCGTCCTCCTCACTCTCGTCACTCGCGCCCCTACCCCTCGCCTTCCTCGCAGCTTCCTTCCGCCTGGCCTCCTCTCGCTCCTCACTCTCCTCTTCCGAATCCGGCTCGTCCCGCCCGTGGCCTTTCTTCCTCTCAACCCTCTCCTCCTCCTCATCCTCCTCATCAGATTCATACCTCCCCTTGTACCTATCCTCTTCCTCAATCCTCCCTCTGCCGCGCCTCCCCTCGTATCTCTCGTCGTCATCCTCTCTGTCCCTCTCCTTCTCTCTACCCTTGTCCCGCCCACGCTCCCTCGCCCTTTCCCTCTCCCTCTCCTTCTCACGCTCCCGCGCCCTCTCCCTCTCTCTCTCCTTCTCTTTCTCCCTCTCTCTCGCCCTCTCCCTCTCTCTTTCCCTCTCGCGTTCCCTCTCTCGCGCCCGCTGTAACTCCCTCTCCTTCTCCCTCTGCCTATCCCTCTCAATCTTCCTCTCCCTCTCCCGCTCTCTCTCCCTCTCCCTCTCCTTCTCCTCAGCCTCCCAGTCCCTAGTGCGGCTGTACTTATAAGAGTGATTATGCCCGCGCTCCCGCCATCCGTACCCACGATCGCGACTCCTGCTTCGAGGCCGTCGATCTCGGTCGCGCGATCGCGACCGTCCGCGGTAGCGCGGGGAGCGGGACCGGGACCGCCCGCGGTGGCGGTCGCGCCGGGATGGGGAGCGCGACCGCGAGCGCGACGACGAGCGGGACCTGTCAGACCCGCTCCCGTCCTTCCCCTTCCCGTTTCCCTCCTTCCCATCCTTGTCCTTCCCGTCGTCCTTCCCTGCGCCGCCCGCCGCAATCGCGCGGCTGATCTCCTTGGCGCGCTTGGCGGCGAGTTCCGCCTTGGTCTTAGCCTCGGAGCTGCGCACCTGCTGCGCCAGCGCCTGCTGCATAGCAAGCGCCTGCTGAAACTGCATGAACGGCATTGCGACGGCCTGCTGCATCGCCATCTGCGACGTCGCAGCGGTCGTCGCAGGCGCAACGGGCGCGGAGGCGGCGGGAGCGGGGGTGGGCGCGGGGGCGGGGGCGGGCGGAGCGAGCGCGGAGAGGACGGCCTGTCGCGTGGCTTTCGCGGTTTTCGCGAGTTCGACTTTGAGTTGCTTGTCGCCGACCGCCATGTTGTTCAGCGCGAGCGCCGCTTTCGCCTCGTCAGCTTTCGCGAATCGCACGTGTGCGACGGTTTTCTTGTCGTTGAGAAATTCGCAGCGGGTAACCGTGCCACAGAAGGCGAAGAGCTGGCGAAGCTGCTCGGGCGTGAGGATCGCGCTGACGTTGGTGACGTGCATCGTTCGCTCCAACTCGTCATCGTCCATCGCCGCTGCCAGTCGCACAGACAGTCGCACAGGCAGTCGCACAGGCAGTCGCACACAAAAGGAAGGTTGAGCGTATCGATGGCGAAGGGACACGTTGTGCGGCGTGATTGAAGTCAAGGATCAGAAGAAGAGTGGAACGGGGCGAGAGGGAAAGGTGGAGAGGGGGATAAATATGCACTACGTGCGACAAGGGACCACGGGTGGGGACATCGCACGGTGCGTCGCAGGATGCTTCACAGGCGACACAGACAGCGGAACGCGACGTGGGGTGCGACAAGCTGGGTGGAGTGCATGGGGTGGGGCAGGGCGGTGGGGGTGCGGGGAGGTAAGCGCACTTACAATAGAAGTCCTCGATGTATTCGCTCTTCTGCTGCAGCAGCTTCTGCTGTTGAATCGCCGCCGCTGCCGCCGCCGCTTGCGCCTGAGCCTGCGCCTGCGCCTGTGCGTGCACTTGCGCGTGCGCTTGAGCTTGCGCTTGCGCCTGCGCCTGCGCCTGTGCTTGCGCCTGCGCCTGCGCCTGCATGGCTTGCACCGCCATGATGCTCTGCGCCGCCGCCATCGCCGCCGCTGATGGCGCAAGAGGCATGTTCGTCAATCCTCCTACGATGTTCAGCACACACGGGAAAGGAAGGGAAAAAAAAAACATCGATACATGTTTACGGACAAGCAGGATGGATTTGAAAAAAATCGAGCCGAAAAGCACAATAATAGCAGGCACGCCTGTTCTTTATTTGCCCCAGATTTCACGTTGTAAACAAAAACAAATATTCCCAGTTCCTATCGTACCGGTTCCGGGAAGCACGCCACCAGCCATGCCGGGGTACGGGCTGGTAAAGGGCATTCCTCCCATGGTCGGGAGCAGCCCGCGGAACTGCAGCGCCGCCGCCATCAACGGGTTATGCATGCCCGGCGCCGGCATCTGCGGCGTCGGCAGTTGCGGCGTCGGCATCAGCGGAGGCGCCGGCGCCGCGTTGACCGCCACCGGAAGCGGCGTTGACGCCGGTTGACCGGCTGTAGCGGCGCTGAAGAAAACCGGGAACGGGCTGCCCATGATGGGACTGCCGTTGACCTCCGCGTTGACCGTGTAATCTCCTCGGTGCTGTACGGTGTAAGTCGCCGTGTACGACCCGTCGCCGTGGTCCTTGATCGCTGCGATCTGCTCCTGCCCAGGCACGCCCGCCTTAGGTGTCACCTTCACCGTTACCTTCGCGCCGCCCGCTAAGATCCGCCGCCCGTCCTCGTCTTTCAGGACTATAACGAAGGACACGGGCGCACCCGCCGATCCGCCCCCGACGCCGGATCCCGCGGCGGAGCACTTGGCCGGGCAGACCGGTCCGATGGGCTTCTTCGCGAGTCGAGTCGCTTCGTCCTCCTCCTCTTCGTCGCTGCTGTCGGTGTCGTCGCCTCCGCCTGCTGTGCCGGCCTTGGAGGCGGCGACGGCTGCTGCTCGGGCCGCTTCTGCTTTAGCCTTCTCCTCCTGCTCCTTCATCCATGCCGGCTTCGTCAGCGCGATTCCGCGACCGGCCATGCCCTAGAGGCCCGCGCGCATGAGACGACGGGAACCAAGCAGCTAGCTAATTACTAGCGAAACAAGATCTACGGCTGGTACAAGATAGAGTGACGAAATGGAGAACTTTCTGTTGGGAGATATTTTAGTTTGTAAGAGGAATGGGGGTGAACAGATAAGCCCTAGAGCGAGAGGAGAGAGGAATGATGGGAATTGCGAAGCACGACGGAGCGACGGTGTTACACCTGCGGGTCGCACGCTCGAGAGATGGCTGTCCCTAGTCGCGTGGCGAACAGCGAGAAATTCGTTAAACCCGGACGAGGGAAGTTGATGGCCGTGACACCAACTAGAAGATTCCAAGACCTTATTTAGAAACTGTGGTGTATGGATCAACTTAAAATCATCTAACCAGTTCTGTCTTTCTGCCTGCTGCTGATGTCAGTCAAATACGCCAATGTCTTACGCTACATATTCTATTCTGCGGGTTTTTGGCGTCAACCGCCCTTCTACTCCAGAGATCATCATCTCCAACATCACACCTCATCCTCTTCCACCGATAGCCGTGACTCATGCTCACGGCCTTCAGCCTGCATTCCCTTCATCCACATCCCTCGGATGTTCCGCCGCCGCTTGATGAGATCTTGGACCAGCAACCACCGCTGATCGGTCTTGGGAGTTTGTCGACGCTGCAACAGCAGGGAGGGATGCACAACTGGGTTCATGGACATACCTAGAGACAGTTCAGCAAGTACATAGACTGCACAAAACTCTGGCAATCTGCAATGCCATGAGAAAGAAAGAGCCGTAAGGCAGCAAGCAACCAAGCAACCTTCTTTTCCCCTAAGAACCTGTCCCTAAACTCACTGCCCGCACTAACCTGAAACAGTCCTTTCCTCCTCATCCTCTGCACTGAAGTCAAGACAAGCACGGTGACAAACTCGGGCGCCCCTGGGAGCCCCTTCTCACCCTAGAGCCCGTCCCATGACTCTCACCCGGAGAGTCGAGTTTTGAGTCGACTCAAAACTCGACTCACTACACGCGGACAAACTCGGGCGCCCATGAGAGCCCATTCTCAACCTAAAGCCCGTCCCATGACACTCACCCTTAGGGCGCGCATGAAGTCAAGCACGGCGTCAAACTCGGGCGCTTGGTGCTTCGCCACCACGTGGTCGAACAGCCTCTCCGCCGCCGCCATGCTGCGCCTCTGCCATGTTGTGACAGGGGCGGGGGGGAGAGAGGGGGAAGGGAGTGGGGGGTTGGGGGCTTGACGGGTGGGACGGCGGCTCTCAAGGGGGACGGTGCTTCGCCACCACGTGGGATGGTCAAACAGCCTCTCCGCCGCCGCCATGCTGCGCCTCTGCCATGCTGCAAAGAAGGAAAGAAAGGAGTGTGGAACAAGTGGTCATATGCCTGCTCGCTCATATGCCCGCTCGCTCATATGCCTGCTCGCTCATATGGTGAGTGCCTCTTGCAGCAGCTGGCTGCTCTGCGTGCACTGGTGGATGGGGAGAGCGCACAGGATTTACTCTCACCATATGGTCTCATGCGTGCACGTCGCATTCACATGCCTGCACACACATATGGTCTCATGCGTGTGCTTTTGAGTCGACTCACCATATGGTCTCATGCGTGTGCTTTTGAGTCGACTCACCATATGGTCTCATGCCATGCGTGCACGTCGCATTCACATGCCTGCACACACATGGCTGGTGAGTGCCCCCTGCAGCAGCTGGCTGCCCTGCTTGCACATTGCTCCATGCCCACATGGCTGCACGCGCATCTCACAACACACTCACATCGCTGATGAGCGCCTCCTGCAGCAACAGGCCGCCCCGCTTGCACATTGCTCCACACCCATATGGGCACCCATAGCTCCGCACGCATATGACTGTACTCACATCGCTGCATGCAACACTCACGTCGCTGCATGCAACACTCACATCGCTGCATGCAACACTCACATCGCTGCATGCAACACTCACGTCGCTGCATGCAACACTCACATCGCTGCATGCAACACTCACATCGCTGCATGCAACACTCACATCGCTGCATGCAACACTCACATCGCTGCATGCAACACTCACGTCGCTGCATGCAACACTCACATCGCTGCATGCAACACTCACATCGCTGCATGCAACACTCACATCGCTGCATGCAACACTCACGTCGCTGCATGCAACACTCACATCGCTGCATGCAACACTCACATCGCTGCATGCAACACTCACATCGCTGCATGCAACACTCACGTCGCTGCATGCAACACTCACATCGCTGCATGCAACACTCACATCGCTGCATGCAACACTCACATCGCTGCATGCAACACTCACGTCGCTGCATGCAACACTCACATCGCTGCATGCAACACTCACATCGCTGGTGAGCGCCTCTTGCAGCAAGAGGCTGCCCTGCTTGCGCATCAAGTAGAATCCATGGTTGAAAAACAGCTCCTGGTGTGGTCCACGCAGGAGCGTGCAGAGGAGTGCAGACGGGTGCCAATGGGTGCAGGGAGACAGAGTGAAGCGGATTGCTGCATGCAAATTGGCTGAAGGGCATGTTTGATTGGATAATACTGAATGCAACAATTTCTTCTGTGTGTATCAGGAGGCAGTGAGGAAGAAGGGAGCAATGATAAGCGACAGAAGAGGACGGGGTGTAGGTACGGTGGACAGTGGGATGTGGGCATGATGGAGGGTGGGATGAGAGAGGGCGAGGGTGGTTACCAGCAGTCGCAGGGCGACGTTCATTCCAATGGGGCGCAGCTCCCTCAGACTGTACGAGATGGCTTGCTGGCATGGGTGGTGTGTATTGGCATGGGTGGTGTGTATTGGCATGGGTGGTGTGTATTGGCATGGGTGGTGTGTATTGGCATGGGTGGTGTGTATTGGCATGGGTGGCATGGTGCGGTGGTGGAGGGGAACAATGAGAATTCTCAGCAGCTCCCTCAGGCTGAACGTGATGGCTTGCTGCCATGGATGGCCCACATGGCACACCAGGGCATGGTGGGGCGTGCAGGTTGCCCAAGAATGGAGGGGAGAGGAGAAATGAAAATATCCTCACCGCAATTCTCCTATCTCTCCTCAGTGCATCCCTGCCCAGCGCATTGCTGGTGCAACCCATCTCTGTGTGTGGCTCACCACGAACTGGTCGATGTACGGGCGGGCGTGCACACGGTGGGTAGCTGAGACTCTCAAACACTGCCCCAGCGCTGCTGTGCTCAGCGCTGCTCTGCTCAGCGCTGCTCTACTGACGGCTCACCACGAACTGGTCGATGTAGGGGCGGGCTTGCGGGCCATAGAAGAGGTTTGCGAGCTTGAGTGCCTCTGCCTCGTTGCCGGCCTGCAGATGCACCCTGATGCATGCATGTGTGCAGGTGCAAATCATGCATGTGCATACGAACCAGAACATGCAACGACGGCAGTTAGGGCAATCAGGGAGAACAAGTAACAACACATCGTTATTAGATCAGCCTGACACGCCACACCATGCCATGATATGCCAATCCATGCAGAGGAGCTCACCTGAAGAGGATAGTCTGCAGGGCAGCATCCGGGACGATGTGACTCTCCTCTATCATTCGCACCAGGCGGAATGCTGCCTGCATAGATGGGCGTGGTGGGACATGCATGGATGGGCGTGGTGGCAGATGCATGGATGGGCGTGGTGGCAGATGCATGGATGGGCGTGGTGGCAGATGCATGGATGGGCGTGGTGGCAGATGCATGGATGGGCGTGGTGGCAGATGCATGGATGGGCGTGGTGGCAGATGCATGGATGGGCGTGGTGGCAGATGCATGGATGGGCGTGGTGGCAGATGCATGGATGGGCGTGGTGGCAGATGCATGGATGGGCGTGGTGGGACATGCATGGATGGGCGTGGTGGCAGATGCATGGATGGGCGTGGTGGGACATGCATGGATGGGCGTGGTGGCAGATGCATGGATGGGCGTGGTGGGACATGCATGGATGGGCGTGGTGGCAGATGCATGGATGGGCGTGGTGGGACATGCATGGATGGGCGTGGTGGCACATGCATGGATGGGCGTGGTGGCACATGCATGGATGGGCGTGGTGGCACATGCATGGATGGGCGTGGTGGCACATGCATGGATGGGCGTGGTGGCACATGCATGCATGGGCGTGGTGGCACATGCATGCATGGGCGTGGTGGCACATGCATGCATGGGCGTGGTGGCACATGCATGCATGGGCGTGGTGGCACATGCATGCATGGGCGTGGTGGCACATGCATGCATGGGCGTGGTGGCACATGCATGCATGGGCGTGGTGGCACATGCATGCATGGGCGTGGTGGCACATGCATGCATGGGCGTGGTGGCACATGCATGCATGGGCGTGGTGGCACATGCATGCATGGGCGTGGTGGCACATGCATGCATGGGCGTGGTGGCACATGCATGCATGGGCGTGGTGGCACATACATGCACTCACACGCACACATGCACGTGCGGGAGCGTGCGCACGTGAGCCCACACATACAAACACACACACAGGCGCACACAAGCACACATGAACATGCAAACGCATGCACACATACGAATTCTTAGCAAGCACTTTTCGCGAACTCCTTGCACAACATAAAAAAAAAAAAAAAAAAAAAAAAAAAAAAAAAAAAAAAAAAAAGCGACTCAGATCTTGCCATTTCTCAGCACCCATCGTCAGCCTTGCCGAACACACTACACATCCTCACCTCACTACCCTGCAATCCCCCCCTCTCCCCCACCTCCATCAGCCACACACCTGCGCTCCCAGAAACGCCCTAACGGCAGCAGCACAGTGCACCAGCCAGTCACTCCACTCCACTCCCCACGTGACTTACAAATTAACTCAAAGCACGAACGCCAGAGCCGACTGAAAACGCACCTGCAACTGGTGTGCGTCGAGAAACGCCCTGAGAGCAGCGCGGTGCACCACCAGATCCGCATTCGCGTACATCAGCCCACCGCCTGCTCCCCTCCCCCCTCCCGCCTGCTCTTCCCGCCCACCGTAATCACCCAGATGCTCCCCCATCTCCCCCATCTCCCCCATCTCATTCATCTCACTCATTTCACTCATCTTCTCCATCTCCTCCTGTGCTTCTGGCGCTGCACCGGCGCTGCTGGTACCTGTGGCAGTGGCGCCATCAGCAGCAGAAGCCGCAGAAGATTCAGGAGCGGAATCGGCCGGGTGATCAGCGGTGGAGTCAGTGGTGCTGGCGGTGCTGGCGGTGGTGGTGGTGGTGGCAGTGGTGGTGGCGGCGGTGGTGGTGGCGGTGGCAGGGGTGGTTTTGGTGGGGGTGTCCGGTTCAACGCTGTAGGTGGGTGCTGTCAGAGACTGTTCCAGAAGAGAAAATATCTGTGGGTAGGAGGGAAGTGAGGGGGGGCGAGGGGGGGCGAGGGAGTGAGAGGAGTGAGGGATGTGAGGGGGAGAGAGGAGGTGGAGTCAGAGGGGGATGGAATGACTGGAGGTTGTGTTACCGAGAGGATAGCAAGCATGAAGGTTGTGTTACCGAGAGGATAGCAAGCATGAAGGTTGTGTTACCGAGAGGACAGCAAGCATGAAGGTTGTGTTACCGAGAGGATAGCAAGCATGAAGGTTGTGTTACCGAGAGGATAGCAAGCATGAAGGTTGTGTTACCAAGAGGATAGAAAGCATGAAGGTTGTGTTACCGAAAGGATAGCAAGCATGAAGGTTGTGTTACCGAGAGGATAGCAAGCATGAAGGTTGTGTTACCGAGAGGATAGCAAGCATGAAGGTTGTGCGGTGCGGTGGTGGTGATACGCTCTTCCCACCACAGTGCGCATCTATCCTTGTGTCCATCCCCCCAACAGTGCACCCGCCCACCCCAACTTCCCCCAGTGCGCCCCTCCCCCTTCCCCGCGCCCCAAGTGCGACCCCCACCCCTCCCCTGACGCCCACCTTGGCAACGATGCGGGGCGAGGAGGGGCGCACGCGCTGGTGCATGGCGATGAGCGCCGCGTAGCAGAACTTGTTCATCGCCACGCCGTCCTTGCTCATGCGCTCCTGCACCTCTGCGCTGGGAGGCAGGTGCGAGGGATTACGGGGGGGTATGGGCGCCATGTTATGAGATATCCTAAATCTGAAATGAGGTGGAACGAGGGAAGGTGATAGACATGTTATGCGGTCAAATGCAAGATCATGCGAGCAGAAGGGTCAAATGCAAGATCATGCGAGCAGAAGGGAGAGGAGTGGAGGAATGAAGAGGAGTGGAGAAGAGGGGAGGAGAGGGCAGTGGAGAGGAGAGGATAGAGCAGTGGCGAGGACCTGTGAGGAAGAGGGAGGGGAGGGCAGGGCTGAGGGCAGTACGCTTTGTCGAAGCGGCCGGTGGTGGTGCAGGCGGTGAGCAGCGCGTGGTAGGTGCGGATGTTGGGTGGCCGCCCTGCAGCGCGCATGTCCCAGTCCACGCGGAACACCCTCTCCACGTGCCCGCTGCGGCTGTACGTCGTCATGACGCAGTTGAATATGTAGCGCTGATTGGGGTGGGAGGGGTGGGAGGAGGGGGAAAAGCCGAGGAGTCTGCATTTGAAAAGTTTTGAAAAGCTTGTCAACAAGGAGAGTGTCAAAAGGAGTGCCTCCATAGCTTGCTGACGTGAACGAAGTTCACTGTCTCACAGCTAATGCCATCTCCTAGGCGCGCGGGTCACGTCGGGCTTTTTTTTTTTTTTTTTTTTTTAATTATATTTGGTAGGTGAAAATGCATTATACAACGCAAAAACACCGTCACGTCGGGCATGATCCCTCAGGCGCGCTTGCCATGGAAGAAGAAGTAGAAGACGGCGTCGCACGGTCGTGCGGGTGACTTTTGAGGCGCATCAAAGGGTGACCAGGTCAAAGCAGAACACAAGGTCGTGCAGGCGGGTGGCGCGATCAGCACGTGCCGTGCCGTCACGTGAATGCAATGTGCAGGATGATCCATCTCACATACATCGGGCGTGATCCCGCGCGCGCGCATCTGGTTGAAGAAGAAGACGAGGTCGTGCAGGCGGTTGGCGCGCATGCACGCCGTGATGGCCGCGTGGAACGTCACGAAGTTGGGCTGCACACCGTCCATCAGCATGTCGCCGTACAGCGTGCGCAGTAGGTATGGCCTGGGGGAGGGAGGGGCGGGACGGGGGGTGTGGCGCGGGGAATGGGGCAGGGGGGTGGTTGGCGGATGAACGTGAGGCGGAGAAGGATCCGCGGAGGTGATGCGCGGTACTACCAAGGATCTGGAATGTGTGATGGCGCGGCGATAGAACCGAGAGGATAGCGCGCGAGCATCTATCGTCACGTGATCCGCGTCGCGAGTGAATCCGATGCGCCTCGGCGACTCACTTTCGGGACCGCGACAGCTCGAGCGCCGCGGCGTTGTACTCGTTGAGATTCCGTGCGTACACTACCGCCTCGTGCGCGTCATGCTCCCGCTTCATCCTACCACCGCTAAAGTCACTCCCCTCGCGCCCCTCACGAACGTTGGCGGATGTGCTTGCAGCAAGGGAATAGAGTCGGCTGAAAAAATGGTTCCCGAAACGAAGAGACGTGCTTTCGGTATGGTCACACCCAGCATCGTGCGATCGTAATGTCGCGGGGAGGATCGGGATTGATGGGAGGAGCGCGCGATCAGGATCCCCGCTTCGAGATGCGACGGATCGGATGAACACATCGTACGGCTGGCCGCGACAAGCGCCGTCAATGACGTCGCTAAGTCGAGACGCGCGATGGAATAAGCCCCTTCGCGCGGCGACAGCCGCGGCCACGTGGCGCTGAGCCATCGGAGAAGCCACGCGACGCGAGGCTGTCAGCGCGTGGACTGTCTACCAGCAGCGACGAAAATCGTCAACATTACAATGACTGTCAGTACTCGGTACAGAGCCGCCAGCCCTTTTCTAGGTAGCTTGATCTGTTGATCCGCCAGTATCTGTTACGCAGCTATGGAGTCTCCCATTTCATCATACACAATTTGTAAAAAATGAAACATGATATTGTGTAGCATAAAGCATGAAAACACACAAGCAAGCTGACAGTCTGGTCATGTTTTTTGGGCTAGCGAGGAGCTATCCATGTGCCCGGCTTCTAGCAACTCCTCTTGCAATCCCTCCCTCGTTTCAACCTCTCCTCCATCATCCCCTTCGTCCCTTCCCCCATCACCACCTTTCCCCTCCACCCCATTTGTCATCGCTATCGATCCTCCCTCTCCTCTCTCCTCCCTCCCCTCCTCTCTCCTCTCCTCTCCACCCTCCAACTCTCCCTTCTCATCATCCTCACCATCCCCCCCACTCCGCCCAAAGTCATGAGGGGGAGAGCCCATGTAAGCATCAAGCTCAACGCTCGACCCCTCATTTGCCGAAATGTACGTAACTTCCGTTACAGGCCGTCGTGCGAGCATCGCGAGGGAGACGACGTAGATGAGGAGCACAAGGGCTATGGCAATCCCAAGGGGGATCCGGGCGGCCTGGGGAATGTGGTCTGATACCAGGTACTCCACACAGGCTTGCACCACGAGCATGCAATTAACAAAGATAACTACAGTGCCGATGATGTATGCAGCTACAGTGACCTGGAAGGAAGGAGCGGAAGGAAGGGAACAGATGGACACATGCAAGGTGTGATGAAAAGAGGCAGTGGAAGCATGCACATGGATATGATGCAACGATTTTCCGTGCGCTGCCAACAATCTTGGGGCGGAGTGAGTTCCATAGGTAGAAGTATCTGTAGGCTAACTGTGGCATGCTTTGTTCTGTTGTGGATTGTTCACTGTGTCGTGCTCTGCCCACTGTGTACCGCTATACTCACTGTGTCACACTCCGCTCACCGTGGGGTGGTTGGTGAAGGGCCCCATCTTGACAGGGCTGCTGGTGAACTTGAGCAGAGGGATGAGCGCATAGGGCAGGCCAAACGACAGGATGATCTGTGGGCGTGCACGGTGGGGGGTGAAGACCATGAAATGGGAGTTAGGCAGATGGGATGTAGGCAGAAGACGATGCTAGCAGAGGATCAAGGAAGAGTGACGTGGAAAAACAGCGCAGAGTGAACGAGGAGAAGCAACCAAATGCAAGGAAGCTGGAAGACACAAACGGAATGCAAGGAGCAACAATCAAAAGGAAGTCCTTCAAAAAAAAAAAAAAAAACATTTGCCGGCCATATTTCTCCCCTCCTCTCTACCCTTCTCAACCCACCGAGGAGGCAATGATGAGGTTGCCGGCGCCCGTAGAGCCAGCCACAATGGCGACAGCGAGAGAAGGCACGATGGCAACGAGGCGAGTGAGCAGGTTGCGCAGCCACGAGGCCAGGTGCAGCTCCAGGAACCCCGACATCACATACTGCCCCGCGTACGTCCCCGTGATGGTGGAACTCTGCCCTGAGGCTAACAGAGCGATGCCAAAGAGCGTGGAGGCCCACGCGCCCAGCACGTCGCGCAGCAGGAAGTAGGCGTTGCTGAGGCTGATGTCGCTGCAGCTCGCCTGCACGTCCGGGGAGAGGTCCGGTGCGGAGCAGACCGCCCCGCCCACACAGATGACTGCCACGTTGATGGCGAAGCTGATGATGAGCGCCGCTGCCACCTCCAGTAGGGAGTACAAGCACCCGTCCTGACAGGGGCGGAGAGGTGTGGGGGAAGGGGAGTTGGGAGGGATGAGGTGGGAGAGCACAGCAGACTGTGCCGCCCACGCAGATGACGGCGACGTTGATGGCGAAGCTGATGATGAGCGCCGCTGTCACCTCCAATAATGAGTAGAGGCACCCTTCCTGGCAGGGCGGAGAGGTGTGGGGGGAGAGAGTGGGGGAGGGGAGGGATGAGGAGGGAGCAGACCGCCCCACCCATGCAGATGACAGCCACATTGATGGCTTAGCTGATGATGAGCGCCGCTGCCACCTCCAGTAGGGAATAGAGGCACCCGTCCTGATGGCAGGGGGAGGAGCGGGGTGGAGAGACGGTGTGTGGTTGAACAACTGAGTCGAGTCGAGACAATCCTGGTACGTGGGAAGTGAAGGAAGGGACAGTGGAAGGCGATGCTGATGATGAGCACCGCTGCCACCTCCAGCAGCGAGTAGAGACACCCGTCCTGATAGCAGGGGTGAGTGAAAGGGGGGAACAGTGTGGGGTTTGACAGACAGAGTCAGGTCAAGCCTGGCTAGAAAGCACGAAACACAACCATGGCAGAGTGGAAAGTGCAGGAGAGCGGAAAACGACACATGCAAACGGATGTAACACACCCGTCAACATCAGGTTCGCATCAGCTGCACATGCCACACTACCAGCCCCCGCCGCCGTCCTGCTCTCAGCATAACCCCAGCAGTGAGAGCAGCGCACCTTGATGCCTGCAGCGGTGCGCTGGTGCTTGCGACTAAGAACAAGAGCAGAGTGCAGGAATAGGTTGTGCCTAACTCCCACCATAGCCTAGCACCCAGCACATTCCAGGCCCATTCAAAACCCCAACAAACCAGTGCAGCGCACCTTGATGCCTGCAGCGGTGCGCTGGTGCTTGCGACTAAGCACGAGAGCAGAGTGCAGGAATAGGTTGTGCCTGGGAGGGTGGGGAGGGAGAGGTGAGGGGCGGAAAATGAAGAGAGGAGGGGTAAAGAGTGGGAGGGAGGGGAAGAGGGAGAAACGAGGGGGGGAAAGAGCGGAAAAAAGGTGAACATAGGTGGAGAATAAATCTGGATCAAGAATGTGTGATCTTCTTAAAAGACTAGAGCTACATAGGTGAAGGACGGTCGAGGTGATATGCCATGATATCTTGGGGCACACAAATGCAGTGTGTTGTAAACCCACAACATGAGTGTGTGTGTGTGCGAACCCACAACATGAGTGTGTGTGTGCAAACCCACAACATGAGTGTGTGTGTGTGCGAACCCACAACATGAGTGTGTGTGTGCAAACCCACAACATGAGTGTGTGTGTGTGTGTGTTGCAAACCCACGACTTACGCCACGAGTCCAACACAAAACCTCCTTCTTCCTGCAAAATCACTCCATTCACACCATCTCACACCACGACTCCCTCTTACGGCATGACAAGCGCGCCGATGAGAGATATGGCAATGGCGAGCGCCCCCAGACCCTGAATGCGCGGGATGAACATGCCCTCTACACCGCCATGCCATCCATGCACCCAACCCCCCAATTCCTTCCTCCTTACGGCATGACAAGCGCGCCGATGAGAGAGATGGCAATCGCAAGCGCCCCCAGGTCTTGTATGCGGGGGACGAACATGCCCTCCAGCACTGCCATGCCGTCCACTGGAGCATGGCCCATCTCTATGAAGAAGCAGCACGCTATCACCATCACCAGCAGCGCTATGAACACCTCTAGGTTGCGCACCTGAAGGACAGAGGGGGGAGTGAGTGGGGGTGAGGTGTGGGGAAGAAAGAAGGCACTGAGTCGCTTCAAGAAGCAGCACGCTATCACCAGCACCAGCAGCGCTATGAAAACCTCCAGATTGCGCACCTGTGGGGGGAGAGGGAGGCGGGGGGTGGGGTAGGGAGGGGAAAGAAGGCACTGAGTCGCTTCAAGACGCAGCAAGCTATCACCAGCACGAGCGGCGCTATGAACACCTCCAGATTGCGCACATGCAGAGGGAATGAGGAGAGGAGGTGAGGAGGCGGTGAGGAGGGGATGAGGAGGTGAGGAGGTGCGGAGGAGATGGAAGGGGGGAGGGGCGAGGAGGTGAGCACAAGAACAACGGTGCTGAGTCAAGTTAGAAGGTCGACGAGAGGATGACTGAAAGAGCAGAACACACAATAGGCACATGCTTGTGAACAAATTCGGACAGCTCAAATAGAAGAGTGTGTGAGGAGGAGAAATGTGGGCTCAGGGAGAAGGGAGAAGGGCCCCCCCGAATCTCTGGAGGCCGAGGAAGAGGAGCGTGCTGAAGCCCATGAACACACACACATGCCCACATGCACACACACATGCACACATGCACACATGCACACACACATGCACACACACATGCACACATGCACACATGCACACACACATGCACACATGCACACATGCACACAAACATGCACACATGCACACACACATGCACACAAACATGCCCACATGCACACATGCACACACACATGCACACATGCACACAAACAAGCACACATGCACACACACATGCACACATGCACACATGCACACAAACAAGCACACATGCACACATGCACACAAACATGCACACATGCACACAAACAAGCACACATGCACACATGCACATAAACATGCACACATGCACACAAACAAGCACACATGCACACAAACAAACAAGCACACATGCACACATGCACACAAACATGCACACAAACATGCACATATGCACATATGCACCATCACACGCACACATGCATACATGCACCATCACCTGCACACATGAACGCACCCCGAATCGCTGGAGGCCAAGGAAGAGGAGCGTGCTGAAGCCAGTTATGATTACTCCCGCCCATAGTCGAATGCCAAACAACATGTTCAGTGCAAAGGCCGTTCCTATCACTGCCATGCATGCACAGGCGCACACACGCACATGCACACTCACGTGCACACGCACGCACACGCTCGCGCATGCACAGACGCACATGCACACACACATGCATCCGCACATAAACACATGCATGCACACACAAACACACACAAGCATGCATGCACACACACACACACACACACACACACACACACACACACACATACATTGCAGAGAAAAGATTGAGTGCAAAGGCATGTGCAAGCCATACAGAAGCGAGTGTGCGCAAGTGTTGAGCAGTGGTGGATACACGCCATACATTCCAATCCAGGCAACGAGCGGAAGGGAGAGGAGGAAGAGGCGAAGAAACGAGGGAGAGAAGGAGAGAGAGGGAGAGAAGGAGAGGGGGAGAAAAGGGGAGACGAGGGAGAGAAGGAGAGAGAGGGAGAGAAGGAGAGAGGGGGAGAAAAGGGGAGACGAGGGAGAGAACGAGAGACGAGGGAGAGAACGAGAGACGAGGGAGAGGAGGAGACACCTTCTGGGATGTCGCTGGCGATGATCTCAATCTCTGCAATCACCCAGAGCGCGAGGTTGACACCTCGGGGGTACTCCGCCCTGCAGTGCTGCGCCAGATGCTTGCCTGCCATCGTGCATTGCCGCACAGCCCCGCACCACACAGCACCGCACAGCACAACGCATCACAGAAAAGCACAGCACAGCACAGCATAGCATATCACAACACAGCACAGCACAACACAGCACAGCACGGCACAGCACAGAAAATCAGAGCCATGTACACATGAAGTGAGGCTGTATCAGGTAAAGCCATGGCATGGAAACAGCATAGAATGGCATGGCATGGCATGGCATGGCATGGCATGGCATGGCATGGTATGGGTTGGCATCTCATAGCATGGCGTCAGATGGCATGGCATAATAAGGCATGGAATGGCATGCCGGCTTGAAGAGAGACAGTATTGGTAGATGCGGGGCCATGCTGTGGCTCCTTGACTCTTCCCTGCTGCTGGGTCGAGAACTAACCTGTGACTATACCGAGGTTGGCTGACAGTGACTGTATCAGGAGGCCCGCTAGTGATGCCAGCAGCAGAACCCAGAGGAGCTGAAGATGGAAAATCAGGAAGAAAGAGATCCGCATGTGATGGATGAAGCGTAAGTGATCATGCACAGCACATTGTCACAATGGAGTCAACTCAAAAGTCACGTGATTGTGAACCGGTATGCTACTGACGGTTGGTAGAAAAGAAAATGAAAAGTCTTTAGCCGTATCTCACCGAGTATTGGTAGGCTGCTCCTGCCTTGAGATCGCTTTCAACTGCACAAGGAGAGAAGCAAAGACAAGAGAGAAAGGGGAAGGGGTGAAGAGACAGGAAGAGACGGTGAGAGCGAGGGCATCAGCACCGTCCCGATTTCGCAGGAATGTGCACTCACGACGGGAAGGGATAGTGTGCTCCGATCCGCACGGAAGTTGAGTGCATGCAAGAACAACAGTGTAGGCAATACTGTGAGTGAGCACCTGACAAGCAGCCTAAGCGACTCACAATTCGCCGGGTCGATGTAGGCTATGGCGACGAGGAATCCAGGTCCGACGTACGCCCAAAATTTACTCCATCCTCGCTCCTGCGATCACTAGCGCATGGACACGCACGGGTTAGCTGAACGCCAGACACACAATTCCAGCTGCGACCGACCTCATCTAACGAGTATACGAACGTTAATTCTCGACGGTCGACATCAAACTAAGGGATTGTCGATACTGCGTTCCGATTAGGAACGGTAAGCTTAGATGCCTAAATGAACAAACCGAAGTGCTCCGCATTCTACGGCCGAGTCTCGCGCCAGGACGGAATTACCTCGGGAACGTGCACTTGACCCTCTTCTTGATCCTTGCGGTCTGCGCCCTCGGTCGCCATGCTGCTGATCAGGCCGATGTTCTCCGTCATAAGGCGGCTGATTCGACTAAATCGATCAACGTTCGTGCCTAGACCTTCCGACCGAATGTAGAATCGATCAATAAATATGCAGCAGCCGTAAACACATTTGGATAACAGTCTACTTGCGTGTGTTGTCGCAACTCGAAAACATAGAAGCCTAAGGATGGCTAGCCTAAGTTATGGTTGACCTGCATTGTTCCGAGACTGGTGCATTGGGGGGCGAAGGGAGGAGCAGTAGCCATCAATAGAAGCTTGGTGCATTGCTCCTCCCCACCACCCTGTCCAACGTCGCATCGCAACACAACTCGAGGAAGGTGGGTGGGTGGGTTCTGGACACGTCGATTTACCAGATAACGGTACGAAACTGTACATAATCTATAACGTCGTTGTGGGATGAAATCTATGAAAGTACTCATGTTTTGAGCAATCAAACCTACCAAAAAAAGGTGGTTATGCATTTATGCAATCTTATTACATATCCGCATATTGCATTACACCTGTCATACGGAACCAAAATCGAAGCAGGAAACAGCAGTGGATGGTGTGTTTTGATCCACATAGACGTTAACTGCTTGCTCAACCAATGCAGGATGACTCATAAACGAGATAGTTAACTTCATGCACTTATAACGACTCTGTTGCACGCTGTATTGCACAGCTCAACAGCTGCTGGAGTGGTCGCCTTCTTGCAGCACTGGCTGCACTGCTGCTTGGTGTTGCTAGAAGTCTTGGGTGCACACACTGGGAGGGGGGACCAAAAGGGAGAGACATTCAGATTAAGTTTACTAGGGCACAGCTTTTCATGTACTTTGTTTTGTGGCGACCATGCACAGGACTATAATGGAATAACTTGGCACTTACTGACGCATCCAGGCACAGGCTTGCAGTTGACAAACTTCCCACGGATGCAGGAGCAGCGCTGGCAGAGGTCGCCAGTCTTGATCATGTTCTGAGCTCCGTTCTTCACGAAAATTGGACCCCATCCTGGTCCAGCACTCACGCACTCATTTGGACCCTCTGAGGGAAACGGAGGAAAAACCACATTGAAGAGGACACGGTGAGCCTAAAAGGACGGTCGATGAAGTAATCAACAATACCATACACAATGACATCTGTGCGAGGGTCCAAATGGCATATTAGCACAAAAATGCTGACGGAAGGGGCACGTAAGGGGAATGGAGCTCACGAGCACTGTTGATGCAGTTGCCAATGAATGTGTCGTTGACAAACCGTGATACTTCACACCTGGTGGTTGACGGAGAAACAAGAAGTAAAATTAATGCACAGAGAATGAAGAAAAACGTCATTAACGGGTAGCGCATCCAGGAGTTGCATTGAAGCAAGTCAGATGATTCTCACTGCTGGCTAATCTTACAACCCACGCGACTCAACTGGTTCTGTCTGGTGTCCTTGCATCGCGTGCCGTCCTTCCATCGCCCCACCGCGTCCTGCTTGCACAGCTTTCCTAGCGGACACACGCAAGTGGGGCCTGACTTGAGCTTCTGGCACGTGCAGCGCGGACAGATGGTCGAAGCCGTGATGCCGCTAGTACCCGGTGCGAACATGACGGAGCGGAACATGCAGTACTTCTGATTTATCTGATCCACTGTTTCACGACGTCAGGAACAGAAAACGGAGAAATTGTTGGAAGACGAAATACTCTGCGGTATTTTCAAGCGTTTCTTGCAGTAGAGAGGGTCGCAGAACACATTGTTGATAATCGATGGCTTACCAGGCACGTCGGAGGCGCATTTCCCCTTGAACAAGAAACGCGGTGAGTTTTTCACCACCTTGGTAACCAAACACCTGAAACGATCAATCGAATTAGCAGAAAGACGGCATTGGATACAAAATGATATCAAATTCACTCCAGTCAACAACTATGCCCGTGGTGTCATGACATTCTCACAGAGGGACCCGCGTACCCGAAGTCTCGCTTTCATAAGGGCTTCATGGGGGTGTAGTTCTTGTCGTAGTAGCACGTGGATCCGTCAGGTAGGCCTGACGCAGCTCCAGTTGCACGGACAACCCATGACCCTGCATGAAATACAGAGCATCAGGATCCATATTCGAATGTAAAATAGTATGTCGCGCAAGCGCAAGCACTTTCAAGAATGTCCTCGCATCACCTGAAGTTGAAGCGAGGAGCAGCAGCAATGGAAGAGATGCGAGGATCTTCATTGCCGATGTCTTGATCGCTTTCCGCTGCCTGCTATGATGACCCGAGAAGCTACAGGAGGCCACTATTTCAGGTGATGTAGATTATTGTGTCCGAAAGATTCATGGCTCTGGGAATTTATAGCAGCATCTGAAAGCTTATCCGGGAGTCGCATCGGGCATGCTCATATGAGTAATGCTGCGCGGATGATGATGTCATGAAGAGGGGCGGCAGTGCGGAGCGGAGGGAGTTCCTTCCGTTGGTTCAACAAATGTGCGAGGGATTTGCGTCCGCGCCGCAGCACACGTCAGTGCTGAGAATGTCCTCAGAAGATGTTACAGGTCCGTACCATTCATACACGCATTTGAGCTTACTTACATTTACCATAAACCAAACAGCTCACTAGGACAGCACAATGGCATGACTTGTGCTGTATTTTTAGTTTCTGGTGAAATAATAGGGAATCTGAAACACCTCTTAGCAGACATAATGTTAAAACATAAAAAACACGTGTGATTTGTGGGGATGTGTAGTCGTGGCTGAAGTGTTAGTTGCCACTTTTCATTCCAGCCCCTTCCATTATTTTGTATCAATAAACATCTCTGCAGAGATGGAAGCTCCATTCTTCTGTGAGCAAAATTGCTTAGCTGGAGAGGATATGAGATTACATGCTGGTGTGCTAAAACAACAGAAGGCTCAAGGGGAGCCAATGATGGCATGTTGAGGTCACTGTGTTGTAACACATGCAGGCAAGGCAGGGCATACGCGCTTCATCATAGAGGTTAGGACGGACTGCCTGAAGCCTGCCGATAAACCCTGTTACATGCTGTTTCACATAACTCAGCACCCTCTGATGTGGTGGCCTTTTTGCAGCACTGGCTGCATTGCTGTGCGACGTTGGTTGGACTCTTTGGAACACACACTGCAAAAGAGCAGAGTACCAAGGGAGCAATACAAACCGAAGAAACAAGAAACAAGGACGCGAGTTTAATACGAAAAACTGAACGCTACAGCACATTCCATAACACTACCCCCCACGAACTTACTGGCACATCCAGGCACAGGCTTGCAGTTGACAAACTGTCCTTTCATGCAGGAACAGCGTTGGCATAGATCACCAGTCTTGGTAATGTTGTGAGCCCTGTTCCTCACAAAAATGGGACCCCACCCTGGTCCTGCACTGATGCACTCGTTTGGACCCTCTGACAGTGATGGAATAAGGGGGTGGGAACACGATGATAGAATGAATGTTAAAGGACGGGAGATTACACACGTTGCAAAAACAATAACAATAAGTTGTGTACCGGTAACAGATGAACAACACTTGAACAATAGGATCTGTAAGCACGAAAGCGGTAAGGGAGCAGAAAACAACGATGGAGGGAGAGGAACTGACGAGCAGGGTTGATGCAGTTGCCAACGTATGAGCCGTTCACCACCCGTGATACTTCACACCTGGTGGTGCAATGACGACATGGGACGGGGGTAAATATGTACAATGTGTTCCGGAAATTACTCCATTCCACATCACAAGATTTGCCTGTGCACAGGAGAGTCAGGGGCATAAAGTCTCTAATTCGTCCCTGATCTCACTCCCAATCCCCCGACTCAACTGGTTCTGCCTGGTGTCTCTGCATCGCGTGCCGTCCTTCCATCGCCCCACCGCGTCCTGCTTGCACAGCTTGCCCAGCGGACACAAGCATGTGGGGCCGCCCTTGAGCTGCCGGCACGTGCAGTGCGGGCACATGGACGTCGCCGTGATGCCGCTGGTCCCCGGCGCGAACATCACGGAGCGGAACATGCAGAACCGCTTGGTTATCTGGTCCACTGGGAAGGAGATTCAAGGATCGTGAATGACATTGTAACACCGAGAAAGAGGCAACTTTGTTTTGTTCGTATTTTTTTGTCTCCGTGAGCAGTGTTTCTTGCATGAAGTCGCAATCAGTGCAGAGAGGCATACGAAAGCGGGATTAAATGAAGTCTTACGAGGAACGTCGGAGGCGCATTCACCCTTGAACTTGAAATGCGGCGAGTTGCGAATCACCTTGGTCACCACACACCTGCATTAAGATCATGTGACGAACACGGAAGGAGTGTCGGCAACGAAATTTAAGCTGTGCTTGCATGGTGGTCAAGCTGCTCCCTGAAGTAATAGCATCTCAGATAGTGAATCGCTGGATAGCACTGCCGGAAATTCAGGCTAAGAATTTTATGGTTTTCGCAGCGTACCCGAAATCTCGCTTGCAGTAGGGCTTGATGGGGGTATAGTTCTTGTCGTAGTAGCATGTGGATCCGTCAGGTAGGCCTCCTGAATCCTTGCCGCCGGCTACGGCTAACCACGGCCCTGCCACGTACAATATCGTCGCGAAAGATGGGAGTTCCATGCATGTGTGCACTGAAGGGCTGAATGCACCGAGGTGTATCCCGAGCGTCCTCGTTCAAGGCTTGATGGAAACGCGAATCGAAAAATCAATCAAAAGAGTTTCTGAAAAAAATCACGAGGTCCTGAAGAAGCGCGGAGAGTAGCACCTGAGGTCAACGAGAGAAGAAGCAGCAATGTAAGCGATGCGTGGAGCTTCATTCCTGCTAATATAGTTCGTTCCACGGCGAACTGTGCTCTCTGTGCTTCGACCAACCTCCGCCGAGAAAATCCAGGCTTGAAATTGACAGAGAGGGGGAATTCGGAGAGACTAATCTCCTTAAAAGAGCTGAGTTAGAGGGATTGGATAATGCTCGATGTATCCTTAATCCTGGTTAGTGTTAAAGTCGTGCAGTAGCAGCGTCTATCAGCCCTTAGCTAGCAACGATTGCAACGAGGTGGATGCATCGCTGGTAAGGAAGGTGCACAGGCGCAACCTCAATAATCTTGAGGTAGTAACAGTTCGAATTGAGTTTATGACGTTGGAACTTCCTGCAACTAGCTAAGCGGCGAGGTACGTGGAGAAGCGTCGTTATCAGATTCTCGTTCACGCCGATTCCAGCTTTCAATTCACAAGAAATCAGCCAACCTGAGCAAGATATATGGTACTCCCATGTTGAGCAGTCCAGCTAGCCGAGCTGTGCGAAGCATCTCAAATTCGCCAACGAACCGCAAGCACTGCAACTCCATGGGGAAAGTGTGCGCGACTCTGCGATGGCGAAACATGTGCGACCATGTCATGTGGCCAATGGCCATGCGGGAGGGAAAATCATGTGCGGCATTGGGATGAGGGCATATGGGTGCGAGGGAATTCCCGAAAACCAGAAATTTGATCCATCCTCTGCTTTCGCTGCAGGTCCTCATCGTGTCGCAGCTCGAGCCGCTTGGTGAAATGAAATTTCCTTGCACAGCCAAGTCCATCCCAGATCCTTGGCCGTTGGATTCCGTTGCCCCAAGGGATGTGTTTCTACGTCCCCGTTAGACAGTAAAATATATGGTTAGATATGCGAGGTTTGGTGCGTTGCACTACCAAGTAGGATCAAATCCAGTTACAGTAAATTTTTGGGAGGGGCTGACAGTTGCTTTTGCCATCAGTGCTAATCATGAAAGCATTCTACTGATTTAGCCTATACTATTGCCTCCACAGCTGCAGCCACCTCCGCAATGCTATTATACTTCTGCCTTTCCTTGATGAGGTGCTTGCCGAAATTGAGAGCCCTGCGCTCGCAAGCTGCCCTCACATCAGGGTCTGCAATGGACTCCAGATCCTCCACATGCGCAATGCCAACAATGCGCCTGCAAGAGTAGACACAGCACGGACACTCGGGAGTCAGGACTTCCATTCCCTCACAGATTTTGGTGGACGGCAGAACCTGATACCTGAAAACCTGGCAAGACACAGCAAAGCACCAAAGCTGCAACTAGGTTCCGCGCTCCCTTAGGCCTGCACCAGCTCTCACCTGACCATCTTGGCACCGGCGAATCCCAGCGAGTCAAGGAAGACCTCGCGCAGGAAGGCGGTCTGGGCGGCGGAGAGCAGCGCGGCGTTGTCATGGTACAGCGCCTGCGGGTACGCGTCTCCCTTGGCCAGCGCCTTGTCATTCCACAGCGCCAGGAACTTGGCCTCAAACTTCTGCCACGTCTCCGTGAAGCACTGCAGGATCCACTTCTTGGTGGCCTGGGAGAGGGATGGGGAGGAGAGGATCGTGAGGGATGTGGCAAAAATTTTGAGGGATCGTGAAGGAAGGTAACAGGATAAGCGGGATTCATTCAGCTCAGCTACACAGTAAGATCCCATGGAGCAGACTCACAGCACGAGAGTCATCAGCCGTGGCATGGCCGTCCTGACTGAAATAGGCCAGCAGCAGGTTGGCCAGGAAGGCCCCGATGTCAAAGCCCATCGGACCGTAGAACGCAAATTCCGGGTCGATCACGACCGTTGATTCCTCCGTGACCATGACTGAGCCTGTGTGCAGATCCGCATGCAGCAGCGCCTGTGCTCGCTCACAGAACCTGCAAAAGGATGGGTGGGGGAGAAGAGAGAAATGGGGTTGCTCCGAAAGAGCTAAAGGGAACCCAGGAGGAGGTGGAGTACATAAGGAGGGGAATATATCAGGAGGTGGAAGGAATCAGGAGGGGGGCATTGAGCGGCACTCACTTGCTCTTGAGCTCTGTGATGGAGAGCTTGAGCTCCACGTCCTCCCTCAGAGCAGCAGCGTCGTCATCCAGTTGGGGAGTGGTCCAGCGGTTGTTGGTGGCCAGCACGTAGGGCTCCGTGAAGATCACCTGCTCCGTCAGCCGACACATCTCCACGTTGCCACAGAACTCGCGCACTGCAGGCAACAGGGAGCGGAGGAATGGCACGGCAGAGCGTTGGGACGGCACGGGCTGGGAACCTAATTATACTGTGCTGATTTCAATGGTCTCACATTTGAATATACTGAGCAAAATCCATCTCTCATAAACTGCCTGCAACAATTGAAAACGGTGCACCTTTGTCGCGGTAGACCTCGGTGTTGATGGCAATGAGCGAGGAGAGGAACAGCGTGCTGGCGAGGAACGACGACATGTGCTCCGCCAGCAGCGGGTACACGCGCCCCTGCACCAGCCCCTTCCTCAGCACGATCGCCGGCGGCGCCACATACCGCATCACAAGCAGCGCCATCGGGTGACTAAAGAAATACACCTCGGGCACCAGCTCAGGCACCCACGCAAACTGCTGCCGCAGCGCGAGCGCCTCATAGTAAATCCTATCCAGAGTCATGGGCCAGGATTCACCCACCACTCGCACGTATGGGAGAGCCTGCTTCACCACTAAGGCCCCTCCCGGCCCTTCTACGATATACACGAAGTTGATGTTTCCGTCGCCCACCTCCCGCACGGACCACTGGTCCGGGCCGCCGCCGAGCCTGGCGGCGAGGTCCGGGTGGTCCTGGAGGAAGGCAGGCACGGTGTGCTCGCTGACGGGCGTGAAGCGAGAGGCTTCCAGTGCGTCTTTGCGGATGCGGTCCTTGTGGGGGTCGTGCGGCTGCGCGTCGTCCTCCTTGGGGTGCGGGTTGTTGGCGGGCGGTGGGTACATGGGCGAGGAGGGGACGGGGGCGCCGAGGGAGTGGAGGAAGCCGCGGATGTCGAAGACTGATGCGCCCTCCTTCTTCCAGATGACGCCCTGCAGGGGGGGGAGAAAGGGGCGAGGGGCGTGGGTGTGAGAGGGAGGTGAAGGGCATGTGAGAAGGAGGTGAAGGGGGTGTGAGAGAGTAAGGTCCAGGCTGATGATGCCTCAGGTAGAACAGAAACAGCGGTGCGGTGACATGGAAATACCTCTCTACTTCCCCCCGACCCACCTTGTCGGTGATGAGCCCTGTGATGAACTGTGCTGGTGTGATGTCAAACGCCGGGTTCCACACATCAATGCCGTGAGGTGCCACCTGCCAGATGAGTCGACCAATACAGCACGGAAACATCACCACATGGCACAGCAGCACATGGCACATCACCACATGGCACATCACCACATGGCACAGCAGCACATGGCACATCACCACATGGCACAGCACCACATGGCACATCACCACATGGCACATCACCACATGGCACATCACCACATGGCACATCACCACATGGCACATCACCACATGGCACATCACCACATGGCACATCACCACATGGCACATCACCACATAGCACAGCAGCACATGGCACAGCAGCACATGGCACAGCAGCACATGGAAAGAGCGCAGACAAACCAACAGTGAGTAGATTCAGCTATAAAATACCAGGGGAACCTGAGGCACCAGCAGGAATGAGTGATGCATCAGCACCTCCTAACACACCTGAGGCACCAGCAGGAATGAGTGATGCATCAGCACCTCCTAACACACCTGAGGCACCAGCAGGAATGAGTGATGCATCAGCACCTCCTAACACACCTGAGGCACCAGCAGGAATGAGTGATGCATCAGCACCTCCTAACACACCTGAGGCACCAGCAGGAATGAGTGATGCATCAGCACCTCCTAATACACCTGAGGCACCAGCAGGAATGAGTGATGCATCAGCACCTCCGAACACACCTGAGGCACCAGCAGGAATGAGTGATGCATCAGCACCTCCTAACACACCTGAGGCCCTGCCCCTCCCAGCGAGTGAGTGAGCTCAGCAGCGTGCCTCTCCTCCACCATCTCCTCCTCCCCTGTCTTGATGGCTGCATCGATGGATGTCAGCAGCGCACCTGAGGCCCTCATCCCCAATCAAGCAATGCACCACCATGCCCCTCTAACGCACCTGAGGCCCAGCGCCTCCCAGCGAGTGGGTGAGCTCAGCGGCGTGCCTCTCCTCCACCACGATCTCCTCGCCTGTCTTGATCGCCGCATCGATGGACGTCAGCGGCGCTGCCACGAAGAAGGGCATCTTGTGGTGGAAGGCTGAGAGCGCCAGTGAGTACGTGCCGATCTTGTTGGCAGTGTCACCTGGTGGTGGTCGACAGGTGGAGGGTCGAGAGATGGGGGTAGAGAAGGGGTGAGCGGCGCTGCCACGAAGAAGGGCATCTTGTGGTGGAAGGCTGAGAGCGCCAGTGAGTACGTGCCGACCTTGTTGGCAGTGTCACCTGGCGATCGGGAGGTGAGAAGGGGTTGAGACGGGGTGAGTGGCGCCACAACGAAGACGGGCATGGTTATGGGTGTTAGATAAGCACAAACAGGTCGAGCAATAGCAGCAGCAGGCAGCAGAGAGCAAAGAGCGGTCAACATTGAACCCACCATTGGCAGCGATGCGATCGGCGCCCACGACAACAGCATCAATGCGGCCAGCAGCCTTGAGCGAGGCAGCGGCGGAGTCAGCAATGAGCAGCGCGGGGATGCCGTCGTGAGTCAGCTCAAATGCTGTCAGCCGCGAGCCCTGGTTGTACGGGCGCGTCTCTGTGCACACGGCTGTCTCCAGCAGGCCTTGCGCGTGCAGAGAGCGGATGACACCCAGAGCGGTACCATAGGCGGCTGTGGCCAGGCTGTGTGGATGGTGAGGGGCGTAAGGACAGGGGAATTCATGTGAAGTCGCGAGCCATGGTTGTAGGGGTGCACACTGCTGTTTCCAGCAGACTGCTGTGGCAGTGAATGTGAACGGGAAGAAAATATGCAAAGCAATGTTACACCAATAGGTACGTGGTGACGAGTCGTGTTGTACGCATGGGTGTGTATTGTAGTGGGTGACTACCCTCACGTGCCAGTGTTGCAGTGGGTGACTACCCTCACCTGCCGGTGTTGCAGTGGGTGAGTACCCTCAGGTTCTTCCCCTCAACGCCCTTCTGCCTCAGCGCCTCCACCATGGCCTGTGCGCCAAATGCCCCGATGCGCTTGTTGGCCGCCACGTCATCACTCAGCATCGCCTCAGCTGCCAGCACCGTCGCCTGAGAGTGGGGGGCGGGGGTGGTTAACAGATGGCAGTGATGGGGTGCAAAGACGTGGAGGGTGGTGGGCCCAGGGGGTGGTTGGCAGACGGCAGACGGCAGACAGCAGACGGCAGACGGCAGACAGCAGACAGCAGACAGCAGACGGCAGACAGCAGACAGCAGACGGCAGACGGCAGACGGCAGACGGCAGGGAGATGAAGGGTGAGGTCAAAGAGGAGAGGTTATCATTACCACCACTGCACCGTTACCATTACCACCACTGCACCGTTACCATTACCACCACTGCACCGTTACCATTACCACCACTGCACCGTTACCATTACTACCACTGCACCGTTACCATTACCACCACTGCACCGTTACCATTACCACCACTGCACCGTTACCATTACCACCACTGCACCGTTACCATTACCACCACTGCACCGTTACCATTACCACCACTGCACCGTTACCATTACCACCACTGCACCGTTACCATTACCGCCACTGCACCGTTACCATTACCACCACTGCACCGTTACCATTACCACCACTGCACCGTTACCATTACCACCACTGCACCGTTACCATTACCACCACTGCACCGTTACCATTACCACCACTGCACCGTTACCATTACCACCACTGCACCGTTACCATTACCACCTCTGCACCGTTACCATTACCACCACTGCACCGTTACCATTACCACCACTGCACCGTTACCATTACCGCCACTGCACCGTTACCATTACCACCACTGCACCGTTACCATTACCGCCACTGCACCGTTACCATTACCACCACTGCACCGTTACCATTACCACCACTGCACCGTTACCATTACCACCACTGCACCGTTACCATTACCACCACTGCACCGTTACCATTACCACCACTGCACCGTTACCATCACCACCACTGCACCGTTACCATCACCACCACTGCACCGTTACCATTACCACCACTGCACTGTTACCATCACCACCACTGCACCGTTACCATCACCACCACTGCACCGTTACCATCACCACCACTGCACCGTTACCATCACCACCACTGCACCGTTACCATTACCACCACTGCACCGTTACCATCACCACCACTGCACCGTTACCATCACCACCACTGCACCGTTACCGTCACCACCACTGCACCGTTACCATCACCACCACTGCACCGTTACCATCACCACCACTGCACCGTTACCATCACCGCCACTGCACCGTTACCATCACCACCACTGCACCGTTACCATTACCACCACTGCACCGTTACCATTACCACCACTGCACCGTTACCATTACCACCACTGCACCGTTACCATCACCAGCAGCACTACCTGGGCTCACCAGCACTACCTGAGCTCACCAGCACTACCTGAGCTCACCAGCACTACCGCCTCGGGCGTGGGTTCCTCCTTGGCTGCATCCTCCGCCACCTTCTTTAGCTTCTCTGCTGCGTCTGATAGGTTCACTGCCGTGGGGCGACTGGAAGGGGTAAGGGAGAGCAGCCCAGAAGGGAATTGGGGGGGCTTGTGTGAGCCTTAACCGTCTCAATCTTTAACACTGACTGTCAGTGGTGAACCTAGAGGACAACTGAGTGAACCTAACGCGCACCTGGACACGAGGTACTCAAGGCGATCGGTGATGTGCTTCAGAGCAGCATCAGCACTCTCAAAGACGCTGTGCTGATGCACCTCCACTCCACTGCCAGCGCCAGCGCCTTTTGAGGCGGCCACGGTCAAACACGCACCCACCTGGACACGAGATAGTCGAGGCGGTCCGTGATGTGCTTCACGGCGGCGTCCGCGGATTCGAACACGCTGTGCTGGTGCACCTCCACTGCCAGCGCCAGCGCTGCTGCGATGGCGATCGCCGGCGCTCCCCTCACCACCATGTCCTTGATGGCGTGCCTGAGGGTTGTGATGGGTGCGGTGCGGTGGAGTGCGGTGCAAGGCAATTCACAGGAGAAGGCATTAACTGACATGTTCGTGGTCGCATTTCCGGCGTGTCGTGATGCATGGGGTTTCAATCCAAACACAGAACATGATAATGAGAATCTCGAACCCACCAGGCAGCTTCGGTGGTTGGGATGTCGAGGTAGATCGACTCGTGAGGAAGCTTCCGCTGGAATGGAGGCAACACGCGGGGCGGGGTGTGGAATGGAGGGGGAAAGAAGAAGCAGCGCCTCAGTCTGGTTAAACGCGCGCCTTTATTACATCGGAGCCGTAGTGATTCTTAACCTTTACGTAAGACGCTCCCTTTACAAGAAGGGTGCGACAGTCTCGTGCGCATAATGTTTTTACCGAGAATTGTAACTGAAAGCTCGCCAGCACGACTCGCCTGGTCCAGCAGCTCGAGCTTCCCTCGGGAATACCGAATGGCCTGAAGCACCTTCGACTCGCCCGACGCGCCCACATTCTCCGCCGTCACCGTCAGATCTGCGACCGCTGCCGCCATTGCTGGCGAATGCTATCGATTCCAACGACGGCACGTAAGACACAAATTCGCGAAACTACGCAAACACAGGAGTGCGCTGGGCGACAAGGCAAGGCGGAAGGGATGTCACGCTTGCGAAGTGCGGCGAGCGGCGCTAGATGCGGAGAAAGGAGGAGGGTTGGAGAAAAGGAACGAAATAATTTGAGAAATCTGTGGAAGTGGGCTGGGCCATGGTCCTTCCGAGGTGGTAACACTTGTGCTGCGATGTGCAAATGTTCGTAACACCCAGCAATTTTCCGCTGCGACGAATTCTGGCGGCTGCGACTATATTCGCTGAATGCTTTGCCTAACAAGCAGAGAATCGAGACACGCAGGTTTCTGAAAACCCGTTATGGTCAGCACACAGCACAGTATACAGTGCAGCACACGACCACATTGCGTTACCTTATTGCTCCCACTCACAATGCTCCCCCATACGATGCCCCCGCTCACATTGTGTTACCTTATTGCTGATCTTCACCTCATCACATGAACCCCCCGTCATCTCGTTTCTCCTTGCTGTTTGGATAGTTTCTGGCCGTGATCACAGGCATTAGATGAAAAGCTTCAACGCATAATGGTCGCTTTCCTTCGGATCGTGGCGGTTAAATTTAGCCACCACCCGTTACCTCTTCGCGTCATCACCGCGATGGCGTTGGGTCGGCTCTCGGTAGAAGAACAGTTCGAGGCGCAGTGCGACGCACATGGGCGCAGTGCGACGCGCATGGGCGCAGTGCGACGCCCATGGGCGCAGTGCGACGCGCATGGGCGCAGTGCGACGCGCATGGGCGCAGTGCGCCGCAGATGGGCGCGCTCGGATTTTTCTAACCTCCCCTCTCCCCTCTCCCCTGCTCACGTTCAGATAGTTGACGCCCGTGCCGCGCGCTCCCCCACCACGTCACCTCCCCTCTGGACCATCCTCCGGGCCGCGCACGCCGTCGCTCAGCCACGTCACCTCCCCTCTGACACCCTGCCACGTCACCTCCCCTCTGACGCCCTGCCACGTCAGTGAGCTCCAGTCAGTGAGTTCCAGTCAGGGAGCTCGTCAGGGAGCTCCAGTCAGTGAGCTCCAGTCAGTGAGCTCCAGTCACTTGGCTCCGTTCACCCGTCCCCATGTACTAATCTCGCTGCCGCTTGACCCGTCCTCAGCCACGTCACCTCCCCTCTGACGCCCTGCCACGTCGCCTCCCCTCTGACGCCCTGCCATGTCACCTCCCCTCTGATGCCCTGCCACGTCACCTCCTCTCTGACGCCCTGCCACGTCACCTCCCCTCTGAGGCAGGCCAACGCATTTGTAACCGCATGTAACAGCATTCGCTCCTGTCGCTTGCGCCTGGCGGCGTCTGACACGCTCAACGCCAAGAGCACGCCACGGTGAGTCAGGCAGTGCAGAAGGCGTCTCACAGGTTACATTTGGTGTGTTGTAACAGAGTTACATTGGTGTGGTATCATCTTAAAGTTTACCCTTCACATGGTTCCACTTGCCATTTCATCCCCTTGCCTTTTGTTCCCAATCAGGCCCTCTGCCTGATGTACGGCCGAGATCTCGCGACGGCGGTGCTGGTGCTGGAGGACCAATTGCAGGCGAGCCCGCTGACAGCTGTCGACGAGACAGTGGTGCTCAACCTGTGCTCCATGTACGAGCTGGCGGTGTCTGACACGCTCAACGCCAAGAGCACGCTCAGCAACTGGCTAGCCCACCTCGCTCCTGACGACTTTGACTTTGCCTGCACTCGGCTGTAGTGGACTTTCAAGGCATCTCAAAATCTCAAAGCACGCAGCAACTGCCTCACGCAGCTTGCTCCTGACGACCTTGATTTCGCCTGAACACGGCTCTACGGAAGGGGAGACGTGTACTTGGCTGTAGCAGATAGTAAGTGTGCAGTACAGGGTATGGAGTAGAGGAGTGAGGAAGTAGGTGTGTGAACGACTTCACTTCGGCATGCTGTTACTATGTTGATGGGTAGGGACTTCCATGAGTCTCTGTTGGGTGGGCAGCACACAGCATTGCCAGAAGTAGCAACACAAGTGGCCATGTCCCATGTTTGAGAGGACATGTTGCCATGTCAGAAAGAATTACACCTCTGTTGCGTGTTCCTGATTGTTTTCCATGAATTATTGAACCAAATGTGAAAGGTCCCCCTATTCTGTGATGTTAGAGGTCCTTCATTCCCTGTTCATCTGCCACACTGCATATTACCGTATGCTTCCCTGGTGTGTGTTACCCTATTTTCAATCGTCCACGCTGAGACCTTGTTGTCCAACTAATTACCTAACCAGAGCTACCATCACTACCGGCATCTAGGCAATTATAGATATCTAAAATACGGTATAATTTTAAAAACATTCGGGCAATAATAGAGCTCCCCACTGTCTTCGGTCTTCTGGGCCCTTCTTGGTCACTAGGGGCTTAACCCCTAGTGTTACACCCACACACCGCGCTGAGGTGGGGACCCTTCGTGTGGGACCGCAGCCCCTAAACGACAAGAGCCGGGCTGCGGCGTCCCACAGCCCAGCTCAGACCAGGTGGCGTAACACCTGGCCAGGCGAAGGCGGGGTGAGGAGGCCATCAGAGTTCAGGGAGCGTCCCCCCATCCCTCGTCAGAGCACTCACTCACACACAGGGGCGCTTCAGGTGTGGGCCGCGTCCGACCCAACGCCGTCAGCGACCCCTGCCGCACAACACCTATGCCGCAGTCGGGGGCGGTCTTCGAGTCTTGGACCCTGCCAGCTGCAGAGCGACACACACCACAAGACAGACACAACACACGATCAAGTGAAACAGGCACGACAAATACATAGTAATGCGAAAAACAGAAAGAAAGCAAGACAAATCTGAGAAAGAAAGCAAGACAAAACGGACAAGGGAAGAAGGTACCTCGCTGCAGCGATGGAGCAGCACCTCACCTCCATCCGTGTGCCGCCCGCCGTGTCGTCTCCGCGCTGCCCGCCATGCTAAAGGGAATGGAAGGGGGGGATTAGATAGAAGCCTCTTGCTGCCCCGCACTGCCCCCTCGCCCTCCTCGCCCCACGAGTCGACCTGAAGGGAAGGGGGGGATTAGAGAGACACACAGGAAAACAAGATCAAGTGAAACATGCACGACAAATACATGAAATGCGAAAAACAAAAAGAAAGCAAGGCGGAAACGGACAAGGAAAGAGGCATACCTTGCTGAAGCGATAAATCAGCACCTCACCTCCGTCCGTGCCGCCCGCCGTGTCGTCTCCACGCTGCCCGCCATGCTGAAGGGATTGGAAGTGGGGGATTAGATAGAAGCCTCTTGCTGCCCCGCGCTGCCCCCTCGCCCCACGAGTCGACCTGAAGGGAAGGGGGGGATTAGAGAGACACACAGGAAAACAAGATCAAGTGAAACATGCACGACAAATACATGAAATGCGAAAATCAGAAAGAAGCAATGCGGAAACGGACAAGGAAAGAGGCAAACCTTGCTCAGGCGATAAGTCAGCACCTCACCTCCGTCCGTGCCACCCGCCGTGTCGTCTCCACTCTGCCCGCCATGCTGAAGGGAATGGAAGGGGAAAGTTAGATAGACGCCTCTTGCTGCCCCGCGCTGCCCCCTCGCCCTCCTCGCAGCCTGAACTGAAAGGAATGGAAAAGGGAAGTTAGATAGACGCCACTTGCTGCCCCGCGCTGGCCCCTCGCCCTCCTTGCAGCCCGAACTGAAGGGAATGGAAGGGGGAAGTTAGGCAGACGCCTCTTGCTGCCCCGCGCTGGCCCCTCGCCCTCCTTGCAGCCTGAACTGAAGGGAATGGAAGGGGAAAGTTAGATAGACGCCTCTTGCTGCCCCGCGCTGCCCCCTCGCCCTCCTCGCAGCCCGAACTGAAGGAAATGGAAGAGGGAAGTTAAATAGACGCCTCTTGCTCCCCCGCGCTGGCCCCTCGCCCTCCTTGCAGCCCGAACTGAAGGGAATGGAAGGGGGAAGTTAGGCAAACGCCTCTTGCTGCCCCGCGCTGGCCCCTCGCCCTCCTCGCAGCCTGAACTGAAGGGAATGGGAGGGGGAGAAGTGAGGACGGAGTGCGGGTCAGGAGGACGTCAAGGCATGGAAGAGGCGGCGAAGGTGCTGTAGGGAAAGACGAGGAGGCCTAGGGTGGGACCACACTTCAGGACGAGATCTGGAAAGAGTGGACGGTCCCACCCCACTCAAGATCAAGCCGTCAGGTTCCCTTGGCGACTCCCCGTCCCCATACGACAGCATCCCCTTCAATCCAAGCATCACATCAGCCAGCCCGTCAGTCGCTCCGTCTCGTTCCTCCGCCTCACCCCATGGACGCAGGGGGAGAATAGATGCCTCCGTCTCGTCGCAGCGCTACCTCCGCACCTTGCCTGCGAGCGCGTGGTCAGCAGGGCGGGTAGGAGGCAGCCACACGCCTGTGACTGCCGGCCGTGCGTCATCCCAACACGCTCGCGTCCACGCCAGCAGCACCTTCGCCTCCACGCCAGCAGCACCTTCGCCTCCTCGCCGGCAGTGGTGAGCAACACGGGGGGAATCAAGGCAGTGGTGAGCAACACGGGGGGAATCAAGGCAGTGGTGAGCAACACGGGGTGAATCAAGGCAGTGGTGAGCAACACGGGGGGAATCAAGGCACTGGTGAGCAAGACGGGCGGAATCAAGGCAGTGGTGAGCAACACGGGCGGAATCAAGGCAGTTGTGAGCAACACGGGGGGAATCAAGGCAGTGGTGAGCTACACGGGCGGAATCAAGGCAGTGGTGAGCAACACGGGGGGAATCAAGGCAGTGGTGAGCAACACGGGGGGGATCAAGGCAGTGGTGAGCAACACAGGCGGAATCAAGGCAGTGATTTTCTTATCCTAATTGACGAGGGGTCGAAGCTGCGTGCACACGCGCTGGCCAGCAGCTGCACCGCTCCCTCCGCGCCTCGCCGTTCCTCCGGAGGCGAGTGATCAGCAGGGCAGCAGAGTGGTGCCTGCCGTGCGTCATCCCATTGCCGCCATCCCGCAGGTGCAGTGCAGCAGCCTCCGCCCCTCCAGTCGCCACCTGCCTTCTCGCCATGCTGAAGGAAGGAAGCGGGGGGGTATGGAGAGAGACGCTCTTGCTGCCCACGCGCTGCCCCTTCGCCCTCCTCGCCCCACGTGAAGCCCTGAAGGGAAAGAAGGCGGGGATTAAGCAGAGACTATCCTCTTGCTGCCCTGCCGCGCTGCCCCCTCGCCATCCTTGCTTCTCTCGCGTGAAGGCCCGAACTGAAGGGAATGGAAGGGGGAGGAGTGAGGAAGGGTGGGCCCCGTGCTTCAGGACAAGACCAAGAGAGAGCTGGGCCCCCCCACTCTCAAATGACCGAGTCCGTCTGCCCCTCTTTCATATGAAGTGTTCCGACTCTGGCTGAGTAGTGGTGGTTGGTCTTGGACCTCAATATCAGAGTGAATGGTGAATGCTTGAGATAATTAAAACAAGCAAGGACAAGGAATATAAATAAGAGAACAGGGGAATATCAATTGTCCTAGCTGGCCATGTTCTTGGACCTCAATATCAGAGTGAATGGTGAATGCTTGAGATAATTAAAACAAGCAAGGACAAGGAATATAAATAAGAGAACAGGGGAATATCAATTGTCCTAGCTGGCCATGTACTCTAAGGGGTACATTCCATTATTATAGCGAAATCCAACCGTGCGACTCCAGGTGGTTACGAAACTGTTCGGGTATAATCTTTGCCATAGCTGCTGCGTGATGCTGTCTGCCCGACGGTCCAGATCCTTCCGTAACCGTACGATCCTTTGCATCATTTCCGCCTTTCCGTCTTCAGCCTCGGTAGTGCTTGCTTCGATTGTTGCAGTAAGGAGTGCACAGTAGTCCATTCATTTTTTCACTATTCGTAAAAACTTTGTGAGAATATGGCATGAAACTGCGGAGAGTCACCCTACAACGGGAGTGGAATACGATCCAGGGATGTACCGTCAACCCCCGGATATACCCCCATGGGGGGCTATAATATAACATGTTTTTTTGAGGGGGTGGGCTTATAATATAGTAAATTTATAAGCGCCGGCGTTTATAATTTGTCAAAAATGAATTTTGTTTTTAAATATACCAAATCGAAGCATTCTCAAAGGCGGATTCACCTGGGTCGAGAACGTTCGAAACTGTGCATGCATTGCGCGTGAAACGGCCAACAAGGCGTGGCTTCACGCCTTCCACGCCTTGTTGGCCAGGCCAGGTTCATCGAACGTGAACCTGGCCCATGCTAGTGCACACGTACCTCGCATCACAGCGGCCCAATCAGGGTTGCATGCGATCGTGGGCACGTCGTGGTTCAGCCACGGTGTGCCCATCAACAGCAAAATTCCCCGCCACCGAGGCAAGGAGCTGCCCAGCTCAGCTCCTCTGCGGGGAATCTTGACTGGGGCCACCCTTTTCCCGCAGAGGAGGCCGGGCCGCGAAAATGAAGGGGTCTCGGGCGAGGGCTTCATACAACCCTCATTCTCGACTTTTGCCTTCAGTTTCTTTGTTCGTTTGGCCTGCCGTGGCCATGGCGGGCCTTCCACGCACGCATTTCTTGTTCCGCCGCTATCCTGCTGCCAGAGAAAACACCCGCCGAGACACCTGTGACTACTCTCAATGGCAGTCGCGCCCTGCGCCCGTCCCTCCGTGTCAACCAGTAGCTCCTCCCGTTCCTCCCACTCCTCCAACTCCTCCTGCACCTCCCGCTCCCCCGGCGCCTCCGGTTCCTCCAGCTCCTCCGTCCCCTCCTGACCCGCCTGTGTTTGGTGCTCCACGTCAGGGGGTCCTGCAGCTTCTCCTCCCTCCTGGCTACTCGGCGTTTGACGCGTACCTGTCCGAGCCCGACCGCGCCGGTGGCGCATCGTCTTCCTCCGCACCGTCGCCACGCTGGGGAGCCCCGGCTGATTGCCCGTTGGACGAATCCGCGACTGGTGCGGAGGATGACGTGGAGTTTTGGGCTGCCGACGGTCTTCCAGAGCACCTGCCTATTCCCACCTTCCCCCCCCCCAATAAGAAACGGCCCCACCCTTCTCGCGAGAATCGCGATGCCCGTCCTCCCTCCCCCAGGCACAAGCCTTCAAGTCACAAGCGGCACTCTTACACATCGCAGGAGAAACTGCAGTGGATTCTCAAGCTTGAGTCCGGGCACATGAGCGTGCGGTAGATGTCTCGCCAAACCGGCATCTCCCGAAGGTCACTCGCAGAATGGAAGACCTGGAAGGCTGACCTGGAGGGCGCGCATGCTGCTCGCAAGCGTCTTCATGGGCGCGGAAGGAGCTCGTGGTATCGCGACATGGAAGCTGAAGTCTACAGGAGGTTTCTTTCCCACCGTAAAAAATGTCTCGCGGTCTCGATCGCTCGCCTACAGAAGTGGTCGCATGAGGTGATGAAAGAATTGCACCCACAGGTAAAGTGGTCCGGCTCGCAGCGGTGGACTGAGCGGTTTCGCCGCCGTTGGAATCTGACAATCCGAGCGAAGACCAGGGTCGGCCAGAAGCTTGCTGCCAGTGAGTTTGTGGGAAATGGTTGCAGTTTAATATGTACTGCTTTGTGTTGTTTGTCTCTTTATGTTTCACGGTTGAATTTTAACGCGTCATTAATACTGTCTTCTCTCTTTCCCTCCCACCCGTACTCCCAGACTGCGAGACTGACGTCAGGAATTTCTGGAAGTTCGTGCGTCACACCCGCCGCCAATACAAGATTGACCCGCAGTGGATAATAAACGCGGACCAGACACCACTGTGGCTCGAGATGCCTGCCGAACGCACAGTCGAGGAGGTGGGTCTGCACTCTGTGCCTATCCGCAGCGGCGGCTATCAGAAGGAGCGAGTTACGGTGATGCTGGCCTGCACTGCCAGCGGTGAGAAGCTGAAGCCGTGGGTCTTCTTCAAACGGAAGACCCTGCTAAAGGGGATTTCCCTTCAGGTGAGCATTAACACCCACTGCTGCATGTTTTTTTTTTTCAATGTCTACTGATGTTGTATGTGCGTTTGTGGCTGTGCAGATGTTACGGTGTCCGTCCATCCCAACGGTTGGATGGACGCGGACGGAGTCATCGAGTGGCTCGACGGGGCAGTGAAGCCGTTCGTCCACACCAAGTTTGGAGTGAGGCCCCGCAAAGCGATGCTCGTCTTGGATTCGTACCGCGGGCACCTGACTGCGGAGGTGAAGAAGAAGTTCGGGGAGCTAAACATCGTCCCTGCCGTTATCCCAGCTGGCTGCACCTCGGAGATTCAACCTCTGGACGTCGCGGTGAATCGCTCCTTCAAGGCATCCGTTCGACAGCTCTACCAGGAGTGGTTCGAGAGCGAGGGGGTCGACACCTTGACAAAGAAAGGTGAGAGAGGCAGGCCATGCGTGTGCTGCTTTATCAGTTTGTAGCGGTGGCTGACTTTTGATTGTTTAAATTTTATGGCAGGCAACATCAAGAAGCCACCACCCGAGCTAACGCTCAAGTGGATATCAGCGGCTTGGAAGGCCGTGCCCAGGGACTTGATTCAACGGGCTTTCCTCACCTGTGGCATTAGTAACGCCCTGGATGGGTCCCAGGACAAGATCTGCCTGCAACACAGGCGCGACGAGCTTGAGGGCGACGAAATAGACATCGACGACGACATTGCAGCAGACGGCTTTTTCTGCAACAACGTAGAAGAACCAGAGTCGGACTCTGAGGCCGACCCGGATGATCCTACCGCAGCTGATGACTAGATTACGTAGATCTAGAAATTGCTGTAGCCTGTGAGACTCGTAGGTAGATTTAGAACTGTAATTAGAAAAAACTGTAGATAAACTGACTTTGTAGTTAATTAGATGAAAATATAAGTTGTTAATGTGGTTAGTGAAGTTTGTAGAAAAAAAATATTTAAAAAAGTGGCGGTTATAATGTGTAAGGTACAGGTATGCGGCTATAATCCCTACGACTCTAGGGTATGCGCTTATAATCGAGGAGAGGATATAAGCGCCATATGCCAATTAGAAGCGCCAGGCGCTTATCCTAGGGTGGCGCTTATATCCGGGGGGTGACGGTATCGCCGCGATTTCCGCGAAGGATACATGAGTCGCTCTCATACGTTGCTGCGATCAGCAATTGATCGTTCCTAGGATCGCATCAGGAACGTTCGTACACTACTGAGTAGTGGTGGTGGGCCCTTGACCTCAATAGCAGAGTGAATTTAAAATGTTTGAGATAATTAAAACATGCAAGTACAAGGAATATAAATAAGAGTACAGGGTGTTAGAGGTCCACCGGTGATCCCCGATTGATCCTAAGGAAGGGTTACATGCACGTTGGCCTGGGGGGTTATGGGCGCACTGACCCGCTACTTAACAATCCCTTTTATCCCAATGGTCCAGTGGTTGGGATACTGACATGGTATTAGAGCGAAGGTCTCGGGCTCGAATCCCGGCGTATGCACTTCGGGCATCCCAGTGCGGGGGGGGTGTCAGAGGTCCACTAGTGATCTCCGATTGATTTTAGGGAAGAGTTACAGGAACGTTGGCCTGGGGGGTTATGGGCGCACTGACCCGCTACTTAATAATCTCTTTTATCCCAATGGTCTAGTGGTTGGAATTCTGACACACGGGAATATCAATCGTCCTAGCTAGCCATGTACTCTAAGGGGTACACTCCCTAATTACAGTGAAATCCAACCGTGCGACTCCAGGTGGTTACGAAACTGTTCGGGCAGAATCCTCGCCACAGCTGCTGCGTGATGCTGTCTGCGCGACGGTCCAGTTCCTTATGTAACCGTACGACCCTTTGCATCATTTCCGCCCTTTCCGTCTTCAACCTCAGTAGTGCTTGCTTCGATTGTTGCGGTAAGGAGTGCACAGTAGTTCAAACATTTTTCACTATTCGTAACAACTTTGAGAAAATATGGCATGAAACAAATGCACATGGGTAACAAGTTGGAAGTTCTCACTTAGAACCATACTATCTTCCCCAATGGCATGAAATCTATAAACTGAGGAGATTTCCATTGAATACATGATGTCTACAGTTGCTATTTCAGTTCATTTGTGGGGCAGGCGAGGATCAGCCCAGGATGTACAGTA